TTATGTTTTGTGTTTTTACAAACAACCAAATATTATTTTTCTCCATACGAAAGTTATTTCTGGCATGTGTTGGTCCCTAAAGTCGTCTGGTAATTGAATTTTCTTTCGCTTTGACGTCAGATCATCGATTTTCTGTATATCGGAAAAATAACATGGCCACGGCGACGACAATCGTTCGCGCTTTCTCTTCAGAGTTAGTTGTGCGAGTCACCTGCAAGAAATTAGGCTGATGGTCAAAGATGGCCAAAACAGAATAATATGTCATTTTAAATGCACTCAAAAATATTGTTTGGAACACATTCTGAAAAGAGTCAGGTTTATTAGAAAATAAGTCGATGCATTTCACAATGAGTTTGAATTCATTTTGAAACGCAGGATAGAGGTACACGGAGTCGTGGATTTCTCAAAATGTTAGTTTTTAAAATGAAAGTATGCTTAGTAATCTTCAAAATCAGTAATTATTAACATGATCAGGAATTATTAACATGGAATATTTGAATATTAGTCTTATTTTGGACACCCTGTATGTAGAAGAATAACAATGAAATAGAGGGTAATGTCAGTAATAGGATAAAGACATTTAGATTAATGTACTACTATTTAATGTACTTACCTTTCGCCGAATGGAACCAATTCGCCCGGATTTATTCAGGAGTTGTTCTTAGCGTTTTTATAGGTCTAGTTTGACTCGCGTTAATCGATATCCCCGGCGTACTACAAGTTCATTCATCTTTCGTATTTGGTTAATTTATGTAAAATAGCTCAATTTAATGCTCCAGTTAATTATATTTATAATTCACCTTCTTGTTTTTCGCATTTTCATTTTCACTCAATTCTTTTTTTCAAAATATAACTCGCTAAGTTGAAGTTCACGAGCTGTTTTTGGACATCGTTCAAACTAGACTATTGTTTTCCGAAAACAACGGAAGTATTAAACGGTGCTTGCTAACCCGTTTTTTGAGTATTATTATTATCTTATCATGATACGTCATACTATTTTATCTTGATAAAGTTTGAAACTTTTCTATATTTTATTGTTATGTAATATGCAAATCTCATAAAACCGATCTACTAAATTGGGAACTGTTATCGTTCCCCAGTTATTATGGATGGAAAGTATAGTTATTTTAGTATTATTTGCAGCTTATTTGCAACGATATGTCAGGTAGTAATTTCTTTTTTTGCGCATTCCGTCGCATATATGCAAACTGGAAGAATAACCTAATTAATATTTAAAGGCGTTCCTATGAATTTCGGCGATAATTTGAATATTTTGTGTGGGCTTACTTCATTTTAATATTGGAATAAATTTATCCAGCATCTAATAATACTAATCCACTTTTGATGATTATTACTTCGCTTGTCGAGTATAGGAGGCATTATCCAGAATATGCGTTTATTGAAGTTCATAGGGTTTTATGTTTACCTGTTTATAGGCAGAAATCACTGATTTCGGGAAGGCGTGCTTGTCTCACTTATATCTTAACTCAAAATAGTCTGTCTCCAAAAATAGCTCTAGGCCCTTATCAACAAAACCCTCGTTAAGGGCGTTGCTTTCCGCTTACTTGGAATGAAAATAGACACTCGGACGAACATTTTGCGTCGGCCTCACGCACGCAAACCACAAGACAAACAGAATACCATTGCCGAATGACGTATACGACGTCTAACGTGCGCATTTAGCACACATGCAAATGGTATTTTCAAAGTTCGATTGCCGTTTATATCAGACTCAGGAGGCAAGTTTGACATTTACATTTGGCGACCGCATAATTATGGCAAAATTCCAACTGTAGGCTAACAATAGACCGAAGTTCAATCGTCTGCCTGATATTGTGACCAGGAAGATATTTGTTCTTGGGATATCTGTGAAATTGTAATCAAATCGAGAACTTACGTCAAAATCTGAAATGTGTATTATTAATAGTATACAGGGTTTTCGGGAAATAGAGGACGTTCAAGCGGGCATTGTTAGCAACTAAACTTCAGCAGCTTATATATTTCGAAAATAGCGTCGGTACCGATATATGTTGTAGTGTAGCATGTCTATTTTCTCCAATGACGAGAAGACACAGATCCGCAATACCAGTATATTTGTTTGAAATATGTTCTGACCAATAACTTGAATAACATTCCCTTAATTAAATCCCCATATATCGAAAATGGGTAGGAACAATCTTTCATTTTAAGTGACCAAATATTCTATTTATCATTGGATTTCTAACTACAATGTATATTTAATGTCCTATTCCATATCATAAACTGATAAAACGTTCTTTTTCTATGAATTCATGTAATATTTTGTTTAATTTTTATCGTGTTTGAAGCTAATCTTTTACGGGAATTCATCCAATTAATAACAATAATTCTTCTTGTTTCCGAATCCTGACCATTATATGTAATCGTTTGTCATTATTGAGACTCAAATTCAAACTGATCTTCGTTCAGCAAAGAACCCATTTAACTTTCAATATTTTCAAAAAATTCCATGCAAATGTAATATATCCTCATTGTCCGAAAATAAACATTCCGCTACCGGAATAAATCGAGATAACGGTATACAAATCTGGTAATTACATTTTTAATAAAATTGCTATTCTTGCGTGTCTAATTTAGACTTATGGTTTTACGTTCTACGCACGCACGAAGCGCTTTCTCATTTGATAAATTGGCGACGTACGAGTTATGATTATGATCAGAAATAGACGTTGTGGCTATTTATTGCTAGTTTAGATTTCGATAAAAGTAACAGGATCTGATTGAAGTAGTAACCTGGCAAGAATTTTTCATTGTAAATTATGGAAAGGAAAGCTATATTATTTTTATTAGCAGAAATATATTTTCGGTATATGTTATTACTTTTTGAATTTTCTTTGTTGTTCATGTCGTTTTTTCAAATTTAGAAGCCAGTTATTTTAATATTGTTCAAGATACTTCTTTTTAAATAATACCAATTTGAAATCAATCAATTAAAATCGATCCCGATCGGAACACAATACGAACCCAAAAATGCAAAGCGGGGAAAGAAACATTTCTTCTTTTAGACCCTGCTCCTATCCTAAAAGATTGAATAACCTAATTAAATAAATAATGAATTAATTCAACTTACAACGCGTGTTTATTTGTTCCTTTCAAACTTCAAGCCGTACTCAACGATTACGGAGGAGTATATAGATGGATATGATATTTTTCTAGATTTTCTAATATGAATATTTGATTTGAGTCTATGTGTAACTTTGAGGTCTCACTCTCCACTTCATAATCATTATCTCGTATGCTGAGATAAAAGAGCTAGTTAAACAATCGAACTACCAACATTGAATATCAATAAATTATGCACAGAGAACGTTAACCACTGCCAAGAATCAATTTAAATTGGTGAATTGCACAAGTCAAAGCATTGTGTGTATTCATATTCAAGCAGTGGGCTATAAATATTACTGCTGTATAATGGTGCCTAGCCCATCTCCTAACATCGTGAACAAGTCGTAATTCTTGTTTTAGTTTCTGAAACTCCAAAAATTGTTTATGGGTGTGCACACCTGCTTTTCTACGCTTATCTTAACGATGTTTATTGTTATTGAGCAGAAAATTTGCCTAAATATAACCTTGATGAGTTCGCAATGTTGGTGTTTCAGCGTTTTGAAGTAATCATGCTTGGTTGGATGTTTAAACTTACCAGGATGTGGCGTTTATGAATGTTTATTCTCTGTCTTGACATGATTCGATGAGCTATCTACGAGCAAAATGTAAATAAATAATTGTGCTCCCTGAAGAGTACAAATTGATAGTCACGGTCTATAAATAAACAATTTAAAGCTCGTTAGAATTCAGAGATCTCTTTGATTCCGCCTTGTGACGTCATCTCACTACGTATTACAAACGCCTAACCTTTGCCCTTGACGTAAATATCGATGAGATACAAATAATATTTGTCAGTGCAGACAGACGGGCTAGGATTGAGGCTGCGATCACGTCATGCATTTACCGCTGTGTGTTCTGTGTACTGTTACGCTGTCATAATTTATTCTAGACATGCTACCTTTTTTTGCGGTTTCTTCGCCGTGTTTATAATGCCAATGTCGATTGTAGGGCTTTTATGTGCCATAATCGAAAATTCATGTTCGATTTATTATTATCGGTTAAAATAGTAAAAAACCATATTCGGCGAATGCCGCCAGTATGCAGTATTATAGGAATTTATTGTTGGTTTAGTTTGGCTCTCTTTGTTTGGAGTATATCAAGGAATTTTTTCGCTTGAAATACCAAATAATTGGTAATCGAAAAATATCTGATTCAAAAAAATTCATATATTTGAAGTTATCATTTTTATGAAATTAATTCATTTCTGCATTCACGTTGCGATTTGTATGAAAAACAAAGAAGAAATTGACAGGATATACTCCAAAACAAAGCAATTAAGAATATCTGAAATCGAAGTCTATCTAGAATATCAAATAGTTTGGGTCTTTTTTATTGTTTTCGTCTCCCGCTATAGTTAATCGTTTCGGTTGAAAAATTTACGAAATGTTATTCCGATTTCACTGTCAGTTATATAAATTTGAAGCTGAAATAGAGCAAAACTACTATTTTCGTATGTAGAAAAATCAGAAAATTCAATCTTTGGCTTTTTGAAGTGCCGATGCCTCGGAAGCCATTCAATCTGCACAATGCATCTTTGCAGAATATAGCCTTCCGCTGTCTATTTATAGCTCTACTGAAGCGAGTTTATACCGTCGCGGATGGGTGATAGAAGTCGGTGGTTATTTTGGCCTGCTGTCATCTCTACATTATTAATTTGTTGCGCTTTTGCATTTATAAGCGTTATTATTGGTCTCATCATATTTGCCGAACAATTATTGATGTGCTTCTAAAAATAGCATACATTCCCAATCGCCATTTACTGGCGCCATCTGTACACGTTCACAGTATTGTGTTAGCTTTTCAGATTAAGTATATTGAGAAGAGAGAACGCTGCTTTAATTTAATTGGGGATGGGGTTACTGCAATTAACATCGGTCGGGTTTTGTGCTCATTTGGCGTCGAATTTTTACATTCTGAATATTGTTGACAGCTCTGAGCATCTATTAACAGAAGAAAGCATGTGTAATTGATTGAGCAAGAATTTACCAAATCGGCGATTGGACTTTCCGAAATTAAAGTCTGTGAATCTTCCCTAACGGTTTAGGAAGTCTGGAGTCAGGTTCGTGATGGACAAGCGTAACAAGGGCATGCCAGCAGCCATTAGGATTTTAGTGAGAATTCTACCTTCAGCGTTAAAGTGTAGTTTGGATCGATTCCAATTTTGAAAAATCTATATATTTTTATACCCGCTGCTCTTGGCCTTGCATGCAATATTTCACATGTTCGCTCTAAGTAAAATAAACCCAAACGCCGCAAAAATGTAAACAGAAGAAGATAAAGACACTATTTTGTTGTTTATATTTTATACAAAGAAGCTTAAAGAAACTTGTAAATTCTCATACGCTCATTTTATCTGCTCCGGCCGAAGAGCATTTTCTATTTATAGTACGCTCCCATTGACGTCAGGCCTGTATTATTATGGCCCAACGCTCTATTACATACTTCCACTTACCAGGTCGTTTTGACGTCAATGCGGAGGGAGTGGGGAGCAATAAAAGAAACAAACAGTCGCCGATGCGCAGAGGACGATCCATGTAAAACGAGACTGTCGTAATTGATTATCATCGTAGGAAGCATGCCGTATTGTGCAGTTATACATATTATTATTTTCGCGAAAATAAAAACAGGGTTGTTGTGTTCTCATTTTTTATTTTATTTTTTTCCACTCCTTTTCTTTTACCAACGCCGGCATTCGCGCGTGGGTGTGCTCACCTCTCTTGGGGCCTGCGCGCACGCTAGGTCCAAAATAGATTGTTAAATCAACGAAGCGTGAAATTTCAAAATATACATTTTTTCGCTCCGCTTTGCTTAGGTTCAGCAAACGTGAGGTAGACTATACCCTCCGGGTTAAAGACAAGCTATTCTGACGAAAACTAAGTGAGCAATCTGTAAATCAGTGTGGTGCTGGGTTAATTGTGACAGTCCGTGTTTTAGTGGTACTGCAATGCCGCCGGTCGTATTATAGGCCGTTGCAAAAATAGTCGAAACACAAATTGAAAGTTAATTATACACTTGAGTGAGTGGACGCATTTGTTACATTTAAAAGCATCCGTGCTTGCACAAATTATAAACATTTGATAGCCGTAAGTGCGTCCTGCAACTTGATTTTTCAGTAGGAATGTCGATATCCCAATATTTTGGTACCATAAAATTTTGCTGTTCAATAATTATTGATTCAGAATAATCGAAAATTCTGAATAGAATCATTTTTCAGTAAAACCATGGTATGTATATAGGCAAATAAATAAAGTAACATTTGTCGTAAATCAGGATTTTTCTTCTGTGGATGACAAATCGCAGGAAAAACGAGACTTTGATTGAATATTTTCAATTCTCTTGTCTGCGTTTAAAAAAAAATCACCAGGTTGGGTGCATGAGGTGTGCGGTACTTGCAGAGGTTTTGCCACTATTCCACTTTCCCTGGTTGCTGGAAACAGACTTCCCGCAGTTATCGGCGAAAGCAAATAGCTCGTAATTAAACATTCATTTGTGGTCAGTACAGATAAAAATGTTGTAATTATCATTTTTACATGGGCATAATACGCGATGTTTGGTTTCTGAGCAATTATGAATTACTTCATTGTCGTCATTCATTTTAATTGCCGTGCGAGTCTTCGCCACCGAAACGTAATGTTGTAGAATACTTGCAGATGAAAATGTCTGCACCGAAAAGATGCTGTGTATATCAGAAAGTTAGTTGAAGAGCGGAAAGTTTTCAGTTTGAGTTGTCTTTGTATATATTTGTTGTTGTGTATTTTTGGTCCCCACTTTGAAGTTCTAATTATTGTCCACCTTTCAATATTTTGAATGAAAGAGCCGATGAAGTATGGAAAGTATAATAAAATACGAATGTTGTCGTCGTAGATAGCGATCTATAAATGTGACAATCTACTTCAGACTTCGACGTTTGTTTTAGCCCACGGGAGGTATACGAGGCTTTTCTCTGTACCTTTGTTTGCATTCCATAGTTGAAATGATGAGTGAGAGGTGATCATAACTTGTTGTTAAAAATGAAAAGTCATTGGAGGTTAGCGACACTTCGGTTTGGAATGAATCGATATAATTATAAACCGGTGAACTCGCCTTATATAGATTACGTTTGCTCTAGGTTAGAAATTTCCGTTTCGGTTAATAACGCTGTTTTTATGTACACAAATTACATTTTTTGCTTATGGTAAAATTCCTAACAAATCATTGCAATTATGTATATTTGAGATTTTTTTGTAGTCAACATTTGTTTATCAACTGAAATATTTGCCTCGCCAGTATTAGCTTTGTCTCAGCCATTGGTTTGCCTGTTCCTTGTCAATTTTTATGATGTATGTTTTCTATTTGCGTCAATGGTCGTATTTGTGGTGCTACCGCAAATAAATGTCTAACTTTTTCCGGGAAATGTTACCGAAAGTATATTTTATGAACGACTAAAAGTAAACATTTGGTATTGTGAAAGATTTCAGTAGCCCGCAGCAAAATATCTATTCTCTAGTGCAATAGTTGGTTTTTATTTAGCTTTTTTCTGAGTTCATAATATTTGAGCTTGTTCATATTGCTAAAAATTTAGATATTCACATTTGTTTACTAGAATGCTAATAATTCTTTTCGATTTTCCCAGTTCAAATTAATTTCTCATTAATATCATTGTATAAGCCAAGTTCTATTTGTAAATAGAATAGGATTCGTGGTAATATTGAATAACTAGTGCAAAAAAGATTATTCTAATTCTTAATTGTCAGCCAAAATTCAAAATATTTATTTCCAAAATATTACCCATTTTAAAAGCACTTCGTAGCAATGAGTTTCAGTTTCTGTCGTCTTGCAAAATACTAGACCTAAAATATTTTAACGTATCCTAGTTGTCATGAATTTAGTCAAGTTACCTCCATCATTGGACTCGTTTGACTGCCGGTAAATAAGTAATGGGATAATTTGATGTACTTTAAATCAGTACTACTCACTCACAAGTCGTGATGAACTCAGCAGTCTGTGTGTGTTGTTATTAACAAATATTTTCCAAATATAGATTCTTTTTTTGTATCGAGTCTCATGATTCATGCCTCTTATTTCGCAAATGTAGTCGAGGCTAGCTTAACTATTTTTAGCATCGATGTGGCACAATGGATTAAAAGTATTTATCTTCGCTAGTGCGTGAATATGTACTCGGTGTCGAACTGAGAATGAAAAGCTTTAGTGAAAAAGGCTCACAAATCGATCAGATAGATGTTGTGTTTATTGTAGAATGGTGCTGCAATTTTTTGACCAGATAGAATGGAAAAGATCGGTGTTAAATGTCGAAGAGTGATTTTAGGTAAATATGCACTATTACATGTAGAGCCAGTAGAATTTAGCGACATTTTTAAGGCCCGTTACCAGTAGTCTGTGGTAATTTAGGAATTCTATTGAGTTTTTTGACTAGTTGCCAGATCTCTTGTTGTGAATGAATTCTGTCATTCTTAGTGCCGGTAGTAGAGGCCGTCCAGGAGTTATATTCCCAGCAGTATCTGAAGAGTTTTGCCACCGGTTGCCCTCTGTGGTAGTTTAGGAATTACATACATTTATAATTTTAGTTTATTTATTCTCGCGTTTGAAACTTGGAAAGTGAGGTCTAAATCTATAGAAAATGACGTAAAATTTCCATCGTGCTCCAAATAAATTATATCTATATCATGTAAAGAATTGAATTAATAGCCTAGAATCTAGATAACTTTGTCACTTCATTAAAAGACGCGACATATCCGATTGGCGCCCCTTCTAAAAATAGACCTACTTTGCTTTGTGTATGACAGCATCGTTATCTCATTATAACATTGCATATCCTTTAATATCATAGCAGGTATGCTAACTCGTCGATGATTATAAGAAGACTTATTCCATCCGTGGATCGGCTCGTCATTACTGAGGTGTAAGTGTACTAAAGGGTCACAGTTTCAGGTCTAAAAGAGATCATTTGCACGGACTATTCCTTTCCTAATGTTTTGTTTTGTCAATTTTGACCCGCCATCCAGTCAGCGTATTGAAATTCGAGTTATTTCAGTTGTGGTATTTCTAAAGTTAGATATCGTCCATGGGGACGATACGCTCGGTTGAATAAATTTCAGTAAATTTACTCACGCAACGTTGGTTATTGAGACTTTGTTTTCCGTAAAATAAATTTCGCTGTTGAAAAAAACTGTTTAGTATGTGAAGCGTTATAAGTCGATTTTAAACGGAGGAGACTAAACGAGAAAGGGTTGAATTTTTACAAAATGCACGTAAATTATCCGAGATTTTATTACAGTATACGCCATAACGGGAGTTGCTAATCAAAGTCTACAGACAGTTAGTTAGTCTTGCTGTATTGCTTATTGTAGGCTATATTATACTTGAAAGTTTCTAAGAGTTGAGTAGTTTGATAATTTTAATAATATAATCATATACTTTGGGTAGTCCCTGAGATAGATTTAGGTCGGTTTGTCTGTATTTTATTCATGACATTATTAGTGGAAAATTGAGGGCAAAGTGGACGACTCTGTATTGGAAGTCGGAATCGAAATTCTCAGTCGAAAATAACTGTCTTCCGAACGTTAGTGTTATATTTTTGTTACCGATTTACCTTAGTTGCGCGTTCGAAAGATATTATTAATTATATATATGACACGAATACGGGACTGCCCTGACGAGTTATGATATATACATATCCGTTTTGGAACGTCGTAATTTTTCTTCTGTTTTATATTTGACTCTTATTCGTGCTCCTTATTATAATGTTATTCTTGTACAAGACTTCGAAACATTTTTTTTTATTATTACGCATTTCCGTTTCCTGTCACGACCATTCTTTCCTTATAACAAAAAATAATTTCAAGTTTCGTTTGAATATTTGAATAGTAGTAGTTTCATACTTCTCGTTATATCGTGTTATAACGGGGATTTTCAAGCGTTTGCGGCATGTGCTACACTCTATAGGGCACTGGAAATATATTTAGTGATAGCAAAAAAACTCAGTTTGAGCAAAGATGGTATTTCCAATAATGTTCTTCAATAGATTCGAAATTTCGCAGTTTGCATTTTTCCATAAAATGTTCCTTTCTTACCTAAATTGATGCCATTTTACCTAGATTGATGCTATTTAGAAATTAGAATATAAGTTATATAAATGAAAAATACGGAGGAATTTTTTATGCATAGAGCATAGAGAATAAATCAAAATTTTCGTAGTTAGACAATACTTGGACACTGAGAATTAGATACCAGACAAAACCCTGGCGGTATATAAATTGTACAAAAATGGCATTATTATTCATATTATTTCTCATCGCTCATCGGTACAAGTCACTGAGTTTGAAGTTTATTTTCATATTGTCGAATTGTATTTCAAAAAAATATTTTTATTTTTATGTTCCACAGTACTATTTTGTAAGATGACATAATGCTGACAAATACAAAATAAAACGATACATTACCATAGCCTCTAGCTAAGAACGTATTGGAAATTTGCAAGCATTATTTTTACACTGTGTCTATAATTATCGCAGGAGATAGTGATTCACCGCCTCCAACCACAAAGAATTCTAACGGATTTAAAGACGTACATCCAGGTAAGAAAATATTCTATTTCATTACCATAATCTTCGACGATTTTTGGTGGTGTTTTGTAAATTTTTTTCCATAAAATTACATTTGGTGATTCTCAAGTCGAATTAATAAGTGGATTTTGAGTAAAATACAACAGAGTTACGGCATCAGGTAGACACATTTAGATTTACTATTTTTCAGTTTAATTATATTTAACCAGTTTTGTACTTTACAATTTGCAGTACAACTAATAATGCAACAGTAGCTGTACCCGATTATTAGTAATTAGTATAATATACAATCATGTGTGATGTATGAAATTTTGTTGTATAAGTGATGAAATAGCGCTTAAATTTACTTGTAATGGTGTTGAAATTCGATTATATTTGAAAATTAGTCAGAATTTCATCCTTTGCTGTGAAAAATAGAAATAGAAAACCCATATTCCGCCTGAAGTTCCATCTGGCGATTTCTCCATGAATGGTGATACCGCCATGACGTCATGACTACTCATAAACAGATCTTATCAGAGCGACCTGAAGATTATATAACCTTATCGTGCTCGTTGATAATACCAAATAGATAGAAAAATACGCCACTAGAATCCACCTCATGGCTGTCGCCATGCCTTATTTTTTATCAACTCCCGACTAACGCAAACACAAGTCACATAAAGCATATTTTCAAACAATACCTTTTCCATATTATCAAGTCAAATTAGTTACGAAACAACGCAAAAGGCTTGTAATGTTTTTTTGTTTTAAAACTGCTGAAACTACCGTATTTTTTATATAGTTTTCTGACTAACGCAAACAATTATTAAGAAGTAATGGAATATCGTTGACCGGGTTGCACCATGACTCATAGGGAACGCGTCTTCGAATTCAGTTTTCAGAATTGTTGGTATATATATTTCACAAATTTTCACATCTATATTTCGTAATACTGAAATCTCAACTTTTTCGGGTCTCGGAAGGAAAACAAAACACAATTCCGATTAATAATTTAAATACAAGAAGTTAAATTTAGAAACTTCACCAAGAAAATCCCCACAGTTTCGAAATTAGAAAGAAAATAACACGAACGAGCGGGCGCAACTGTAGTTGTCAACACGAAAATGTCATTCGTTCATCAATTTCGGTGAAAATTGATCGAGGATTTTTTGGAAGTGCTATTTACCATTGAAGACCATTTTTTATGTTGAGACAACGACAATACAAGTTAAACTTTAGATTCGGTTGGTTGTTTTATAAATGTCCATAGCCGAAAAGTTCGGCTTTCTAAACACAATTCCGATTGGCGCTAATTTTGATTTCGGATATTCAAAATTGAATAATTTGTCAGCGAAATCATAAAATATGCTAAAAACCACAATTCAACAGCAAAAATGAAAAATCTTGTGAAAAACAGTTACGATATTTCAATTATTTATTTTCTTTCGGATTATAGCCTCAATTTTAATCTTTGTGAAAATTCAATTTATTTGCATACAATAACTCATACCATGCCAAGGACGATCGGGTTATAAAATGAGTGCATCGTTTAGTTTACACTTTGAACCGGATTACCTGCGCGAAGATATTTTTACATTGAGATTCTTCCTAGATTGAAACGCTGAACTCTATTTTTAACTATTTTGATGTTCCCGGTTATTTATCATTAAACCAGGCATGTTCGTGTTCAAATGTCGTTTGTATTATGGGACGAGAGTCGAGAATAGAAAATACAATATCGATCATTTATTTTAAAATTAAAAATTTAATTTTCCGGTATTTTTTTATATATAGTATAATATATCGGGTGCGTTGAATTAACGTTTAGATCGTTGGATTCAACACCGTTGGTGTCGCGGGTGTAAAATCTTCTGAAATGAACCGGTTAAAGTCCGCGAGCAAAGAAGTACTACCTTCGTTTTGGGCGGTCTTACTAACCACTGACATTATAAAAAAAAATATTTATATCCGGGAATTTTTTTGTTCAAGAGTTAGAATATTCAGAGTTTTTTTCGTAAAGTTTTCCATCCTGGCAGCGATATAATAATTTTTGCTAAATTTGACATATCACAATTTCGACACTGTTGTGCCAATTCAAGTCATTTAAATTTGAAAAAAACGGGAGTATTCTAAAATGAATTGCCTATAAGTAAGGAACATGGTCATCAATTTTTCTTATTTTCTCTTAGTTGGGATTGTCGACGTTGAAGTATTCCCGGGAAATTTACTCCCGTATTCGATTCATTTTGACAATTTTTTTAACAATCTCAGCTTCGAGCTTGAGTGACCATACATGACATTTCTGAATTCTGTTTCTTTGTGTTTATGAAAATAGATGCGAACGTGACTAGAGAAGTCGCAAATTCTATTAATAAACTTTGGCAATTGAATTCATGCTCGCGAAGCGCAACTATTGTATTTCTCTGAAGGAAATTGTTTGGTCTGCAAGCCAATGCGCCAGTTGATAGCAAGTTATTTGTCATTCCAAGAGGCAGTTCCAGCGACACAGGATAGAGAAAGTTACACCCCTTTATATTGGTATTCTAGATTTTTTCCTGCAGCTGAGATTTATTGTATTTCATGATTTTGGCAATTTTGCTCTAATTCTTATATATAATTCATACTTCATAGAATCAAATTCTAACTAAGGAAACACAAATTTTACTATATAAATTCTAGAGATATAACATATAACTTGAAGATTGAAACTCTAGATAAAAAACAGGAACCAGTCATTTTAAGACAGTTTAGTATTGGAATAGTGTTAGATTCTACTGAAATCAGATGGTATATCTTTCTGTAAAATTTTTTTTTTAAAATATCCAATAAAAAATTTGATTAGCCTTGAATATAATAGAAAATGAAACTGAAATTGAAACAGCCTGATTCAGGCAGCAAGGAAATTTTTTGTTGGCCTCGACGATGGCCATCTTCGATTCACGAAATATAGCTATTTGATTGTAGAAAAAAGCACATAATTCTGTGACTGGGACTTTTATTGGAAATGTTAGGTAGCCAACGTGTGTCATGATAATTTAAACTTTTAACCCAAACAAGAGAAATATATAGACCTAAATGCTAAACCTTTTTCCAAGATTTAAGCATATACATGGAAGTAATACATTTGTAAGCTCACATTGTGACATAAAATATGAGGGAAAATATTTACACAACAATACGTGAGAGGTATATAATGGGTTTCATTCAGTCATTTAATCAGTAAAAAGTGGCATTTGTCTGATATATTGAAAAAATGTCCTGAATGCTTATGAAAATGGTCTTGTTAGAAAGTGTAAATGAGATAATAAAAATCAACCATTTAGTGCAAAGGGGGGTTTATTGGGTTTGTACAAACGTATTGTTCCAAAATATACTTATGAACCTAGTTGAACCCTTTAACATAATGTGTATGTATAAATTTCTAAAAATAATTGTTTCATGTTGTGGTTCTTTGCTAAGTATGATGAATATGTTCCCATTACTGTACGCTCTATTCGTCATTATGTCCATATGGTCCAAAACTGGCATCGATAAATCAGTATTTATATGTGAGATTTATCTATGAGGTACATATGATTCGAACTTAATTATAATTCAACCATTTGTTACGGAATTGCTAAATTTGGGTGATGTGTTAATTGATAGTGTCTGAATGAAGATGAGCATTTTCCCTGTGGTTTCTACTGACCTGATCAGTATTCACAGCGCAAAGATATTTTTAGAATCGAATATTGTAGGCTGCAACATGGGTTTAATGAAGTGTTTAGGAAATGTATGCTTGTTTGTGGTGAATTGATAAAATAGGTTTTGATTCTATTTTAGGTATGTTTTGTTATGTAAGGTTTACTTTGTGTTGAAAATAAGGTTTCAGACAATACTGTGGCCTAATTGACAGAAATTTAACCTCCTTGATTTCCTTAAATAGAAATTGATTAATACAGCTCAATTATTGACACAGTTGAGATTGGGAATTTGCATTTTGGTGTGGTATTATAGAATTTTGTGTTGTTCGTGCTTGCTTAAAAATTCCGCTATTAACAATAACTTGTCCGACATAGACTGCGAACAAAGCTAGTCGATGCAGTTCGAGAAGTTTGAGCATTTCAATGAGCAATAACTATTTTTGTATAGAAATAGTTTATTTAACATTTCAATCAAGTTCATCCCTTTGACTCTTCAAAAATCATTTCAACGCATGACTCATCCGCACCAAAAATAGCTCAATAAGTTTTAACCTGGTTTATCAACCAGTATTCTGCGTGGGTGGTGGCAGAGATGAATCTTCGAAATTGAAAATATTTTATCTTAATCTGTCTAACAAAGATCTGCTTCTGTATTTTCTATGTTTAATGTTAAAACAGACGAATAGACAAACTTTCAAAGTTCAGGCAAACTTGATCAGACTGGGCATTTTCACTTTGTGCAACAAACCTAGCATTTAATGAATACTTTTCTGCATTGTAATATGATTCAGGATATTTTAAATATATTTACTGTGTTATCTAAGGAAATAACGGTTCATCAAGTCTACTTTGAAAATGGAAATTTAATTGGAACCAAGGGTAAATTGATGATTACCCTTTTTATTAAAACTTCTACTCTTTTGTTCCTACAGTTGCAACAAACCAAATTTTTGATGATTACGGTACTCTTTTTATTAAAAATTCTGTTATTTTGTTCTCAAAGTTACAACAAACCAAATTTTTTATATATAATGTTCACTTCAAACAAGATTTTTCTAGTTTGGCACTGGCTACCCAATTTATTTACACCCTGGGTGAGTCTAGAACCTTATTGAATTTTTAATCTTTGATGCGAACACATTCAACCCAACTATGAGAATATAGACGAACTACCAAAAAAAAAATGTTGATATTTCGACCCAAGTTGAATTTCTCTTTGTTCAAGGTATAAACTCTCCTATTGGTCCCTTTTTTCAGATGCTCCTCAGTAATTGCAATCTAACTATGAACATCAAATTTCAAATTACATTAAATTAAGATATTTCTTATCGTATACTACCATGACCCCGAAAAAGTTTATCAATGGTGGCACTGTTAGTTCATATTTACAAAAGAGTACGACGTGACTATCTATATTTCAGTTATGTCTATTTGTATTGTGAACAACTACGTCAAACTTTATCGAATAACTATTAGTTGAACGACCAAAGTTCAATATGACCTAAAAAGAGAAAGGGAAATTTCAGCAAACAATTTGTTTAAAAATTGTATAATGTATCACATTTACTATTTCTAATATTGTTTAAGGACAGTTACCGGTATCTGGTGAATAGCGACAAGCTTTCTTTTCAATATAATTGTAGATAGGGATATAGGAAGTCTATGAAAAGTTGTGTTTTTTTAGAGTTTTTTGTAGGAATAAGAATTTTTTATGAAATCAAAATTAACCTTTCCCTCAAAAAATTAGCCACTTTGGACCAAATGAGATTTAAAATTTATGTTTTTTGAAAAAAAATTTGGGAATGTTTTTTTCCAGTGATAGAAAAAAAAACGCTTTTCTGTAAAACTTGCCTTTTTTATCATGAAATATTTTGTAGCTTTACAGTAATATTGCTGCAAAATAGGTTGCAATTGTAAAATCTGAAATATAGATTAATCACAAGACCTTTGAATCACTATTCATATATGGAAAAGTTGAGACAAGAAATAGTTTTTTGTGGAAATGATTTGGAAATCCTATGTGATTATAGATGAAAAATTTCAATTCAAATTATCTGAATACTTGAATACATTTTTGGCTAGATTTTTTATTTTTATTTTAGAAAATGATGAATTTTTAAAAATATTGGAGATTATAAAATAATTGATAAAATTAGCGCAATTAATTTAAAATACTTTTCCCTAATGTTTGCAGTTCAATGTATTACAAGACCACTTTTGAAGCTTGTTAATTAAATTTACCCTATGGGAGAAATGCATAGTAATGCAAACATTTTATGCAAGTCATGCTTCGGGAAGCAAATACTGATAACATTGTAAATATTAGACTATCAATGACTTGCAGTACTCAACTTTGCTAACTATTATGTATTGAATATTTCATTTGGAGACAACGTTGTTCGTATTCCATTACCCAACTGAGTTGGTTTGAATGAGAAGTAATGTTAGTTATGTCCGTGGGGGTTAAAACTTGAAAGTAAAATGATTAATTTCCTTTAACTGAGGTATTTTAAAAATTTGAACTTGGAATTGAACAAGCAAAGGAGAGAATTCATTCAGTGCGTTATCAGTGTTCAACTTTGCAATTGAAAATTTTTAAATAGCAGATTTATTCATTTATGATTTTTATTGGTATTAAAACTTGATGTTTTTATTATTATTTTATTGCCTTATGATGATAATAAACATTTTTCTCATTTTTTTTTATCAGTAGTTTGCATTAGGTATTTCAATATCTAAATAATTTATGCTATTTTAGTATTCTGCCTTGAAATTCATATCAAGTTTGAATATTTTAAAGATATTTATTTTTCATAAAATCATGATATTTGCCAATTTTCACAACCAAATTTTTACGTAATTTTTAGTTTTTTTTTGAAATTTCAAATTTTTCATAAAAATAATTTACCGAAATCATATTATATTCAAATTCATATTTAAAATCACATATTGCAAATAAAAATATTTTGAATGATATTTACCAGTAATTTAATTCTTTTCGGTATCATAGCTTGCGTAATAAGGTACTTGTATTATCTACTTTATTTGGTATGCCAAAATGTATGCCTAATAACATCTAAATATAGATCACATTATTTCATAACAATGACACATAACACGTTAGGAACAGCTTGCACATCCATCAATGTTATGTCATGTTGTTTATCATTTCTAAATTTGGTAAACTAAATATACATTGGAATATCGCATTCACACAATTTAGCATTACTAAATTGAATGGCATGTAATAGATTTGAACTATAGGTATGTCATGATTTTTGAAGTTCTGCAATTCTTTTGTAATATTAACACGCCTAAACGTGATTTTGAACTTGACATTTCCAGAATAATCAATAATATTCTTGGTCAGCGTCGAGAATCGAGTATTTGAATTTTAGTTTAATTTAGGAATAACTCACTGGTTAAATTTAATTAAGCTGATGTTTTCGAACAAATGTTGACTTTCTTGTATGTGATATTTGACCTATTTGCTATTAACAAGGCTCTAGACTAGCAAGCAAGTGCTGGATTTGAAGAGAAATCTAAGTATGAGCAGATAGTTTTGTTTGGTTGTTTGTAGAGCAGTATATTCTGATTGTTCGGTTATAGGTGAGTGTATTTATAGTTGATTCTATTTTGAATAAGAAGCAGAAATGGCCAAAATTAGCTGGATATTTGAGTATATTTAAAATTAGTTATAATCGATACAGTTAGTTATAGTTTCGGAGAGAATTAGGATATGAAATAATATGTATTCTATAATATGCATTGATTTAGGAACGTTCTCTCATTCTTTGTTAACACAACTTAATTTTGAATATATCCTCTGCTTTGCAAACTTGAATAATATATATATATATTTTTTTTTATGAAATCATGGTATTTGCTAATTTTTACAAGCAAAATTGGTATAAATTCTGGGGTACTCCCTAAGTATGTGTACCAGGCAGGGTTGGGCCATAATTTTATTCCGATTTTTCTTATTTTAGTTCTATTACGAGTTCGGGACTGTCTGTGTCAGCCAAGTGAATATCCCCCTGCCCATAGGTTTCAGTCCCTTCACATAACTCGATGTGAAATAAGCGAACAAAATTAGTTACCTCCATATTGGCACACATACTGGAGCGCCAATTCTGGTTTTGCTTCAGGATTTCAAATTTTCCATAAAGAATGATAATTTTGATTACCGGTACCTTATATATCCAAATTCGTATTAAAAATCACTTGTTTTAAACAAAAATATTTTGAATTATGTTTACTGGTAATTTAATTTGTTTCAGTGTCATAGTTTGAATAGGATAGGAGGATAGGATTTTACATATTTATCCCGGGGGAGAGGAAAGCCGATAAGACGGCTTATTCATATGGCGAGCGAACCACGGCCTCTCGTCCGGTTACCATTCCAAGTCGGGTATGGGATTAGTTTTACTGTATTGTTTGTTTTCGGAAGCATGGACGTGGTGGTGGAGGAAGCCGTAACCGACCAGCGGTTACGTGAACCACCCAACGACGGCGAGGAGTCCAGCAATCCTCTCGCACATAACCATCTCTGCATGGGATTCGAACCTGCGAACCCATGCAGAGTAATTAGAGGTGCGGTGGCGAGCGTATTCCTAACGCTTAGCCCGTTGAGCCACACCGCCGCGCCAATAAGATGCTATTCACTTTATTTGGTATGCCAAAATGTCTAAATCTAATGCTGATCTAAATATAGAATATGTTATTGCATAACAATGACGCATAGCACTACAAAATAATATGACATTGTTTTATATAGGCTATTGCATATTTGTGTGTAATTTATAGATATATGACATTAGTTTTTCTTGAGATCTTCATTTATCACAACTTTTATTCACTTCAAAGTAGGTTAGTTGGTATTATATGTTGTCAAGTTATCAACATTTTAACATTTATATAATTGCTAATTTATCAGAAAATAAATAAAAAATTGATCCATGATAATGTTCCTTGTCAAATTACAGCAAGTTAGTGTATATATAATTTTTTTCTTTTTACAGAGGATAGAACATTTATCGGAACCTTTCCGAGGGTTGGAATGGCAGCTGAATTGGCCGGGGCAGCAGGCGCTGGAATTATGTCGGAGGAGTACCAGAAACTACTCAAGTTGAGGCAGCAGCAGTTCGACGAACAGGTACAGGTAGGATTTGTTTGATGTTACGTTGAATTTGAGAATATGGAAGAAAATGGTGAAATTACACTTCTCTTGAGTTTGATTGCTAATATGCAGGGCTGTGAAGGTTGAAAAATTTACACCCTACTTACAAGATTGCAGCATCGAAAAAATTATCTCCCTTAAAATTTCGACCCTAAGTTGTGAAAAAATTTGATAATGGGGAGTTAAAATACCACTTGAACCTTTCAGCCCTATTAACATAGAAATTGAAACATAGGTAGTTCATATCTTAAATTATAATTTCTGAATGTTAAAATTTCATAAAATAGTCAGGAAGATGCATGCGCACGACGAAATGATGTCTAAAACAAATACATTATTTGAATATATTCAAAATTTCTAATATCCGATTTGATATAATATTCTAAATTCCAAATTGTTTTCTAATCAACATTTGTAATATGAAACTAAGTATAATTGTCCATGCCCATCTGTTGAAATTAAAAAACATATTATTCATTTTATAACAACTATAACCCAAAAGCGAACATTGTAAAAATGCATGTTTTTACGATTGAAATTCAAAAACAAAAACTCCGAAACATTTTGGATGCTCTATTATTTGTATCTATTTACTACTCCATCTTTTTTATTATGTATGTATCTATTTTTGTATATTTCTAAAATTCAACCATTTGCATCTGAATCCACTTATTTTATTTATGTTGTATGAAGTAATTGATAGTTAGGAGCTAATTAACATTGTTCTGTAGATCCATAATCAATACTTTGTTGTGACACCAGCCAGGTGAACACTTGTTATGGAATGTAGAGTGTCTGTCCATAATATTACATTATAACACAAATTATGGCCAAGAAAATTCAGACTTACGTGTATATACTATACATTTTTTTTTATTTGAAAAGTAAGATTTAAAAGAGACTGTCTAATTGAAAATGGAAATTCATTGAAGAAAATTTTTTTTTCAATTTTTTGTGATGTGTTTAGCTAAAATCATATTTCCGGTACCTGGTTTAATTTTTTTTATTGAAAATTTGCTATGGTTTTTGTCTTGATCTTGTCTTCCAATTTCTGTCTTAGTTTTAAATTTTTAGTATATTTATTTTTTTTCTAATTATTCAGGTACTCGCCAACATTCAGCGTCAGCAGCAACTCCAAGAGCATTTCAGGGTAAATATTAATATTTATTGAATCCCACTATTATCTTTCTTGAATTGTGAAGAATAATCAAAAAAAATCTCATTCACTGACACTTTCATGTCTGCCATTTTCTATTTATTGAAAATCGGTAACTTCTGATACAGAGCCTTGCTTAGAGTCAAGATGTGAAACGTCACCAAGGAAGTTAGGTTGTTGCAATCTTCTCTAATTGTCTTTCACACCATGCTTCAATCGTTTAAACACAGAAAAATGATTTTTTTGGCAGAATCATCCTTCTTGATGAGGCCCAATTATTTTTTATTATTCACCTGAATTGCTCAATTTACGATATTATCACTCAAGATAAAATATGCAAAATGGCTCCTAAAACTTTAACCGTACAAATTATGTAATCTAATTTCTCAAATTTCAGAAAGTCTAATGCACTAAATTCTTTACGCAAAATGTTAATCTCCAATGTATGCTGTTGACATTTATGAATGATTAATGCAGGCTATCGTAGGTACATTGTCAAATTATTTCCAAAAATAGAATTCGGTTCATTCAACTTTTCTTGCATCGCATTCATTGCTGCATTGCTGCAGATAAAACACAATAGGTACGGAAATGATTGGATTCAATTTTCCTAGATTGGAATGCATTGACATTGTATTTTAAATGCCTGTATGAGGAAGTTAATTCATTTTCTCAAAACTGCATCAGACTAATCATTAAGGAATTGGAATAGAAACTCCTTTAAATTCTAGAATGTCCTCTTCATTTAGTAATCGTTAGTATCTGATTTTACTCTGAAGCGAGTGTTTCTCACTTCACTGAGTAGGCAACGCTCTGAGAAGATATTTTTAAAGAAAAATCATTGAACTCTCAAAAGTTGCATGCATGTCAATGAGGTTAAAATTATTCGATTGACCACTTGCGCAATCACTGACCAATAACTAGTATTTTGGCTGAAAAATTGACCATTTCAGAGAGTTTACTGTTGTATATGATTAACAATACGTTTCTATCATTCGTATAACTTGTTTCTCGGAAATATAGTACTGGTACTATATCCTTAATTATGAGTTTTAATTGGAATAATTTTATAAATAATTATATCCTTCACTAACCGCAACATTATTTTAATTGATAATATTTATTAGTTATTAAAAATGATGTAATCATTAAACAACGAACATACTACTTTGACATCAAAAAATGTCTTAGCTTCTGGGAAGGGGTATTAAAATGAAGCAGGATATCCTTTTTATTGTTTTTTCTTCTTTTTTTTTTAGCAATTTTTGCAAAAACAGCATGAAGAACAAAATGCTGCGAAAAATCATATGCGCATTGCTGAAGAAGAAATGCAACAAAAGCATGATTTATTTGGTCAAGTTTTAAATAAAGATAAAAGTAGAGAAAGTAAGGATATATTCTATATTATTTTCTGGTAATGCAATATGTCAAAATAAAGTGGTTATGACGGAGAAAATTTTTTGTTTATGTGGTAGCATGTCCTATTCGAGTCCACTTTTGGAATGTCAAAAGAATTTCGTTAAAAGGTTCAAATCCCATCGCATCACCAGTGTGTAATAAAATGGGTAGGCAATACTGAACTTGTTAGATTCAAGTCTATTCAACATCCGTACTTATGCTTTTGCAGAGCCTTGCTCAGAGCAAAAGGCCATAAAAGTCTTCTAAAAATTCAAAATTATGCTAAATGTTAAAAGATTTGTAAAATTTTTATTTCTTTCTTTTGGTAATTGCGAATTTTTTGCACATATCTTAGATTTCTGCAAAATTGATTCAATTAGAAGATTAATCTAACTTAAATGAATTGCAAGACACATTTCTAGAATGACAAACTATGTGATAGCCAATATTCAGATTGGAACTGATTCTGAAACTAAAATACATTTCACAATGCTATGATTCTGTCAGTATTAATGGAGTGTAATGACAAAATAGCTTTCTAAGTTTGCCCTTAAGTATATGTATTGATTTATTTATTAATCATAATTAGAAATTTCTAATTGCAATTTTGATTAACTCGTTTTTGTGGGCTTGGCAACACTACTACATCAGGATATATTATTTTTAAAATATATTTTCGAAGCCTTTTTTCACGAAATGTTACTTATTGATTTTTTTTATTGTTTTTATTTTCTAGGTGCAAATGCTTCTAGTGCAGTAAAACAACATTTACAGAAATTTGTTATTGGAAGACAAAAAACTAAAACATATGATGGCTATCCAAATAACGTTGTGGAAAGGTAGGAATTGGACTACGTTGCTTTTTTAATCTGATATTTTAGATTTTTTGATATGAACTGATAATTGCTCTTATCTGATTCAGAATATTGAGTAATACACTATATTTAGGTTTTAATATTAATGTTCATTTGACTATTTTTAACATACCTTTCACTAGTTTTTCATTTGTCAATATTTTTAGGAAAATGTTGAGATGGACACCTTCACTGGATAGCAGAAATGGAGTTCATGATCTTGCTGCACCTTATCCTTTACTTTTTGACAAGAGGAGTACATTTCCTCTAAGGAAAACAGGTACAGACTTGGTCAATCATAAGTAATAACATGCGGCGAGTGATTTCAACTTTTCAAACATTTCAAAAATATTCCATGATTTTAAATGAATTTCAAAAAGCTCTACATAGGACTGCAAAGGTATTTTTATCAAAATCATCTCTCATCAGAGTTATTGGTGACCTGTCTGTCACTCATATGCCATGATCTACTAAAACAATATAGAATTATGAAGGTGTATGGCTGTATTGCAATTGAACCCAAGATGCCAATATCAGGGATAATCAAATTCCGTATTCACTTTGATTTTTTCTACAGCTTCCGAGCCAAATTTGAAAGTAAAGTCTCGACTTCGGAAGGTTAATACGTTAGATCGACGTTGTTCTCCTCTACTTCCACGTCATCCTATCGACAACAGTCGAGTCGACATCGCAAACAGAATCAAACAAAAAATATTGAACAATGACCAAGGTTGGTAGTTTTGAATTCAAAAATGACTATTTTTATATGACTTTGTTGCTTTTAAAAAAAATATTTCGCAGAATTCAAATGTGAGTTGTTTTTTTGAGTGTTGTTTGCGTATAAAGTAAAAACAGTACATTTGGATTTTTTTTTATTAAATTTTGTCACATTTTTGACTTTAATTTAAAACAATCCATGAAAAAACAAAAAAAACATTCTATGTCAAGTTTGAGTAAACTTTTACGATTACAGTTTGACACATTTTTGATTTTGTTGTGAACTTTAGTTTAATCTCCTAATTAACGGAAAATGAGCATTTTTGGTCTGACAGTTTCGTTAATGATTCACTATTTCGGATGTAAATTGATTCGTTTCATTGCTTATACCTTTGTAATCAAATTTTCTTGTTATAAACATTTTTGTCCTCGAAAGATAATCATTTTGGTAATAAAATAGATTGAACATTTAAATTATGAGGTATATTTTTCGAGCATATCTCAATTTTCGAAATGAAACATTATGTTTAGTGATTCTTATGAAATTCATAAAAATAGAAAATCAGTATTTCGCAAAATGTCGTTGAAAAATCTCAAGTTTTCAATAATTTTGAATGAATTGTAATGTACAACATCAAATAAGTACTACAAGCAATGCCGAATTAGTAATTTTTCGACATTTTTACAGCTGGTGCCGACAATTCTGCGAGTAACAGTGCTCCCAATTCAGGCCCCAGTTCACCACTTAGCAGTAACAGTAATATAAACAATAGTTCAACTACTGGAAGCAGCTCTTCTATTCGTGGTCTCGGACAGCTTCCAACCGCAGGGGCTTCGGAGGTATAATATGAAAAGATTATTTTTGGCCATGCAAGAGTTACTGATGAATCGAGCATGAAATGCCAAAATTATATAGAAAACTTTTTAGATTTAATTACATTTATTCAAAAAAAATTCGAAAGTTCACTCGTTGTTGAAATTGAATTAAACTTTAAAATTTTGTGCGTAATGTGATTATGATGTGGTTCCCAGAGTAGAAGACATTATGCAAAGTCAGTGTCTCGTTTTTTCTTGAAGAAATACTGATGCAAGGTTATTAGGGAAGTGATTATCTCCATGCTCTGATGGAATATAACTGAGGAGAAATGTTTCGCTTACGTATGGTGTACATAAAAGTTATATCTTATATTAAATTTTCGTATAATTACGGTCAAACCTATACTTAATTTTATGATTACCGAATCGGAAAAGTGTAATTAGTTACAGTGATAAAGAATTTAGAGTTTCAAAAATTTGGTTTATTCATTTTTGAATACAGGTTGTCGCAAATATTTTTTCTTCCTACGGGTGTTCTCAAACTTTCATGATCTTTGACACCTCCCATAAACACTTGTGTCCCCTTTATCTTTTATAAACTATCTATTTTTGCTTTCCATCAATTATTTTATGAGTCATATTCAACAATAAATATGAAACAAAAGAAAGAAAAAGAATAAATTCATTACAGCCAGGAAATTAATTAATTCACAGTCAATTTAATTTAAATTCATGTTGCCATCGCGAATGGTATCGAGTGAAGGCTCTCGGAGAACCGGTACATGTCCACTAGAGCGCCAAATGCTCAGTTTAAAATGTTTAATAATACCTGAATTTTTTTTTTCAGACTGAATTGCCTGGCTACCCCTTCCCTCTTGCCATGGGATTGCAACCTCGTGAGATTTATGCTTCACCCTCGTTACCTAACATATCACTTGGTTTTTCACAAAACAAATCTGTGGTAAGTAATACTTTTTGGACTAAACCTGCTTATTCAAAATCCTACACAAGTACAATGAGCATTTACTGGCATGTGATGCACCACATATTTCTATGTTGTTTCAGTAGTTCTTCGCATTTAGTGGTCACTATAACTTGGTTCAGAGACCAGTCTCTTCACTCTGAGTGAGTGTATGACTTTTTTGAGCAAAAATTCTCTTGTGAAATTGAAGTTTGATTGGACTAGTTTTTATCAAATGGGTTGAAAATCTTGCTTGATTAGAACAATCAATGCATCTAACTTAAAACAAGTTAAAAGGGGTGTAGGAATTCTAGTTTTCCAAAGCCATATGTTAATTAAATTAATTGAAGAAATTAAATTTTTCATTTCTCATAACCCTAGTTGTGAAGCTTTATTGTTAATGATGATTGACAACTATTCTATGTCACTGTCGACTTTTTAAAATAATTTTATAAATTTCTCTGTTTTAGGATCCGAATACAATGATCACTGGTACGCCACCCAGTTTTCTCATGTATCCACCAGAGGCAGCAGATCTCCAGAGATTAGTTCTAGGTAGAACGTCGTCTCTGCCTGGTCCACTGATGCAACAAATGTACAAACTTCCAGGTACGAGACGTAAAATAACCTCATTCGTAGTAGTACAATCGTAATGAGATGTTTGAAAATGAACTGTCAATTTTCTAACAGTTTCCAAAATTTCTTTTAAATTTTTTTAAAATAAGTAAGCCACTATGAATCATCTTAAACTGTGGTGGAAGGGTATACATAGACACATAACAGCAACTATTAATTTAACTTCCTGATTTAATTCCTCGTATTTACGTGTGCAGGTCAAATGTCAGAAATGGACGTTGCAATGAGATCTTACCTATTACAACAACAACAACAGTCAGCCTTATTGGGTGAGGAGATTAGTGCTCAGCTTTTTTAGGTCTTTCACGAATAACATGACATTTTCTGTTCTAGCGGTTGCATTTTTTTGTGTTGATTCTTACATTTAGGACTTTTACGAATAACATGAATATTTTTGTTCTAGTAGTAGAATATTTTTGCGTTGTTCTCACATTAATGACTCCTACGGTTAGCATGAAATTTTCTGTTCTAGCGGCTGCGACTGAGAAAGATTCGTCTCCAGGACCTATTCGCACACCTCATACCAGACCACATAAAGCATTGAGTCGAACTCACTCCGCACCTACAGCACCTCAGATTCAGCATCAAATACTACAGGTAAAAATGTCATCAAACTTTGCAAGATAATTAGATCACATTGAATTATTAGACTTATGTGGTATGGTACACATATATCATCTTTTATGTCAATTGTGAAACATTGGAATATTGGTTATTCATGATCGCATAACACGCACCAAATCACATAGGATATTATGATAAGTGAGTTATGATAAGTTTTTTTATGTGATGTGTGCAGTATTTCATTACAAAATTGCCTTATTTTCCAGAAGAAAAGATTAGAACACAATCGTCTGTTAATGCCAGGACATAAACATGCACCACATCTTATATCTGGAATGGCTGCTGAAGCACCTTATCGACCACTTGCTACACATAGAGAAGCCGCTGAACATGCAGAATCATCGAAACAAAAGTAAGTTGTGGGGAATACTGTCGGATACTCTAAGTTCGGGGTGTGCACACAGCGGCCCACAGGCCAAATGTGGCCTTCGAGGAAATTGTGAAAAAATTGTGCCATCCGCAAAAAAGGGCCAATTTTGGAAGGTGTGCTGCCCATATACCCCTGCTGTAAGTTGTGGGAGATACTTGGAAATCCTTCAAAATTATGTGACGAATAGATATGAAAGAGAGGAGAGCTGATGAGATGGTGAATAGGTGGGGGCTGTTGGTGGTGTAAGTTTCCACCAAGTCGTCCATGGGTTAATGAATTGGGAAGACAATGCTGAACAAGAAAAACTATTTTTCCAAAAACTGTTATGTGTTAAATAATCATTGGATTTTTTTTTACAGAGCCTTGCTTAGAGTGCAATTGTGAAAACATCTCACAAAAAATGCAATAGTTCACCACAAGTTCTTGTTTGTTTACCAGTCCAGTCTGGGTACCGTGTGAGAAAAGCCAGAGTCAAAAATTTTTTCAAACCAGATTGGGGCGTGCTCCCGTAGTGTGTGTACCAGGTTAGGGTTAGAGCATAGTTTTTTTTCCGATTTTCCTTATTTTAGTTCTGTCATGCGTTCAGAGACTGTCTGTGTTAGCCAAGTGAATATCCCCTGCCCATAGGTTTCAGTCCCTTTACACAACTAGATGTAAAATAGGCGAACAAAATTAGTTACCTCCATATTGGTACACACACTTCTGGAGCGCTGATTGGGAAGTCAACTGTAAATGTTTTCCTACTCCACAGCCCATTTCTGGATCCTCTAATCATCTTCTATATTTTTCTACAGTAGGACAAAGAAATTAGCAGCTTCTCCACCTCCAACCCATCCTGCTGCAATATCAAGTACAACTGTTGCTGCATTACATTCACATTTGATCAAACACAATAACAAAGCTATCAAATCATTTCCCAAACAATCAGACAATAAGTCAAGTTCACCTCCAACATCGCGACATACTTCTATGGAACATACTCAGACTACACCTGAAAAATCATCAAGGTGAGTGGCTTTGTATTTCGAGTTATACTCGACAAGAGAGTAATGCTCAAATACATACACACGAAGTTCAAATGTCATGCATGCTAATCTCAGTAGCAATAATCAGTTACCCGAGCACAGAGTTTGCGAAATGAAATGAAGGACAGCTGGGACGGAATCAGTTTAACTTAAAGGAAGAAAAACAGTGTTCCCTGTTGTTGAAATAAAACAGCCAATTTTGCGTGAAATTTTGGATCTCGTAGGAGTAAGGTTTATAATGTACAAAATTTTAATAAAAAGGTGTTTCCAAATTAATGGTAATTGTTTACTCGCCTCCAAACAAAGGATGAATATTTAATTCATGCATACTCACTTTAACGCACATAGAAAACAGAAAAATAAAACAAAAGTAATTTTAGATAATATATTTCGACAAATAAAAAATGAAAAAACAGCAAACGAAAATTGTCACATATTATTAATTTTGTAAGGATTGTCGAAAATGGATGACACACTTTTGAATTATTGAACGAAAGTGATTGTTGCCGAAATTATGTTCATTCTCATCCTATAGTTCTCTACAACACACAGCTGCTACTTTGAAAGAGCTTTGTTCAGAGCAAACAAATGAAATATTGAATTTTCAGAGAATTACACACTTTTCATATTTTAGATCGGTTATTGTTTCGACACCACAGCGAACATCTTCGGAAGATCGCGAAGATCGAGATGTTATTGTTGTAAAGCAAGAAGCACCTGATGTATCGGGAGATAGCGTTAATGCTTTATCACCACAATTAAGTCATCAACGATTAGCTGCCATGGCCGTACAAGACAAGGTATGAGAGAGTTGAGATTGTATTCGAAAAAGGCAAAATCACTCATGCATTAACAAAATCACTCATGCATAAATTCTCTCACATTTTCTATTTGCAGTCAAGTGATCACACTCCAATAAAACCTATGCCATTGCAAGGACGAAGATCGCTTCTTGAAGGTGAAATGGGTCATCATCGACCTTTGACACGAACGCAAAGTTCGCCCGCAGTATCTTTTTCACAAAAACATAAACACAAAGTAAGTTACAGTTTGATGTATTTGAGGTCATTCGGATATATCCATCTAATTCTAAGCATTCTCTTTCATCCAGTGGATGGAAAATTTAATCATTTTCAAAATTTGGGCAAAACATGTATGAAAATAGTGACTTACCTATTGGTGGCTGCTTATACAGAGACTTGTTTAGAGTGAAGGAGTAAAAACACCACATAAAAATAAAAATCTGTTTGCATCAAATTTTTTCATTCTTTTTATTTTCGAAGGAGTACAAATACACCACAGGTCTCGGATACGATTCAATCATGCTCCAGCATGGGTGTGCGTGCGGAGACGCTCACGCTGAACACGCAGGACGTCTCAAGGAAGTATGGTCTCGTTTAACTAACGTAGGTTTGACGGAGAAATGTGAAACGCTTGAACCACGAAAAGCTACAATGGAGGAACTACAACTTGCTCACACGCAAGAACACACACTCAGATATGGTGCAACTTCGCTCGCTAGGCAGCAGTCTGTAGTTCCAAACAAGTTCATTGTTCTACCTTGTGGGGGGGTCGGAGTAGATAACGGAATTGACATTGACACTGTCTGGAATGAGTTGGCCACTATTAATGCAGGTACGCACACAGTGTTCATTAAATTATTTAAAATTTTTTCATACCTCATTTTCAAGTTTTATCCTATTCCATCATTTCTCATATATTACAACAAAAATTAAAATGAGAATGGAACATGCTAAGTTAAGAAAAACCAATTTAATGCTTTTAGCATGATTATGAATATCATTTGTCTTAGCGAGAGTTATAAATAACTTCATTTATGTTCATATACTAACAATAACAGTCACAGTTTACAAGTAAGAATGGTTGTATGGTCCTAATCGTCAATTAAATGGCTAAATTGTTAAAAACCTTGCAAAAACAGTGAAAAATCATGAAAAAGGCTGCTATGCAGACGGTAGGTTGGACTCTCCAATGCATATTCAAACAAGAATTATTCGACGCTATCATTGTGTTGGTCTGTTGTATTAATTATCATTTTATTTTTAGCACGAATGGCTGTTGGATTAACAGTTGATCTTGCATTGAGTGTCGCTGCTGACGAACTGAGAAACGGTTTTGCAGTTGTTCGACCACCTGGACATCATGCAGAGAAAAACTTAGCTATGTAGGTTTTCATTCTTATATTTTTGGTGAATTTAGTCTAAGGATAGAAGTTAAGTTACACCATATACTGGGAGAAAGTTAAAATGAGTATTAGTCGACTGTAGTACTCAATTTTATTGTAATTATTTCGGCATTTTTTCTGTTATTCAATTTCAAAATAAATAAAAAAAATTAATTGATTCCAAAAAAAAAAAGAAAAAAAAAATATTGAAACAGTTTGGGCCCAACTGAACTAAGTGCTTTATTCTGGGTTTCATGCCGTTTATTCGTTTTTAGCTTTTTTTTTTATTGCATTCAAACATTTTTGATCATAATTAATTTTACAGGGCATTCTGCTACTTCAACTCAGTCGCAATAGCTGCACGTCAGTTACAACGTACCTACCCAGATAAAATCCGCAGAGTTCTGATTGTAGATTGGGACGTTCATCATTGCAATGGTACACAAGATATATTTTATGATGATGATTCTGTCTTAGTTATATCGGTTCATCGCTACGACGAAGGACACTTTTTTCCAGGAACTGGCGCTCCGGAAGAGGTGATTATATAATTTTGAATTTCTGTGAAATTTGCAATTATTTTACGCTGGGCTTGAAGACAATTCTATCAAAATAAAAATGACCGAAAAAATGATTCATTGTGCGAAAATTATTTGACAGAGAAATTTTTGTTGTAATTTCAATTCTAATTTTTACTTATATAATTTTGAAGCAAAATTGCTCAAATCATGATCACTTACAAACTCGCTCAGAAAACTACCAGAAATGATTATAAAAAACTTTGGCCATGAAGAATTCTTTGTCTAGAGGGCGGATGAAAACTTATAGCCCATGAGTATGCCACCTAAACTTTTTCTCAATCCTGATGAATATATTATTTTCAGACTGGAGCTGGACCTGGTGTTGGTTTCAACGTAAACATCGGCCTCACTGGCGGACTGGAACCTCCCATTGGCGATGCAGAGTACTTGTCGGCATTCAGATCTGTTGTGATGCCAATAGCAGAAGAATTTAATCCAGACTTTGTTTTTATATCTGCTGGATTTTCTGCGGCCGATGGTCATCCGTCCACGCTTGGAGGGTATAAAGTTTCCCCACAATGTAAGTGTATGAATATGCATTTGTGTTTGCAAGTCTCAAAATTATGGAATTATTTATATTCAATAATATAATCTCTCAATATTTTAATCAATCAATTTTTCAATTAAGGTCAGAATTAATACTCGGAGTGTCCTCAGGAGTTATATTATTTAACACGCTTGCAAGCTCATCGTCTTTCATTCAAGCAGCTATATTAGGGGTCTTAACCTTTCCGACGTGGCAATGTTAACGCAATTTATCACACCCTTTGAGGTTGGGGGCATGGTATTTAAACCTGAAATGTATTTATTTGCGATTCCAACCAGTAACTCTTTTACCGAAATCTCACAAAATATTGATAATGATGAGTTTATACTTAACTAATGACTTTTTTATGGCAATGGCACATCATGTTCATATATATATAGTTGTACATTGAGCTCATTTGTGCCTATGGAGTTTCAATAAATTTCTCTTTTAGCGTTTCAATAAATTATCCCTTTTTTTACAGGTTTCAGCTACCTTACTCGCCTGCTGTCCCAGCTTGCGAACGGGAAAGTCGTTATGGCATTGGAAGGTGGTTTCGAATTAAAACCTCTTGCAGATTGTGTGGAAATCTGCGTTCGAACATTGCTTTCAGACTCTGGTGAAACTGGGGATGCTTCTGTCGGACAACTTCCTGATTCAGCGTTGAAAAGCATACCATGTGATAATGCAGTTCGTTCCATTCATCGTATATCAAGGTTCCAAGGTGGGTAATGTGGGTCAGTTCTGAAGGGGCTTGTGCCATCGAATCGACTTGAGTTTTACCCTTATGTGGCTAGAGGCATCCAAATAGAATCATACTAACAATAGAAAAAAAAATGTTTCTCAATTTTGTCTAATTTCAGAACGATACTGGAGTCGATTAAAGAGAATGTCTGCATATACGAGCATTACTCATGCAGCCTACCTTGGACAAGAACAGGAAGACAGAACAGTAGTAGCTCTTGCTTCATTGTCTGTCGAACATTCGAAACATATGGACAGTAAAGGTTTGTTTCTAGTCTTGTATCCAACTTATTAATATTGCCATATCATGGAGAATTGAGTATTTTTAGGTGGGTGGTTAAAGCATTGGTTTCAACTAAGTTGGCTAATCTAGGGTTCAAATCCCATCACTCTCACCCAGGGTGTGATAATTTTGGGTAGACTGTGTCGAACTGGAAAATTCCTTTCAATAAGATTAGCTCCATTTACGTATCATTGGCTATTTGCACTGGACATTGTTCAAGGTATAATGTGTGGAAAAATGGGCGCTCTAGAAGCAAGTGTACTAATATGGAGGTGTCAAGTTGTGTAAGGGACTGAATCCTATGGGCAGGGGGTATATTTAATTGGCTAACACAGACAGTCCCCGAACTCATAATAGAACTAAAATAATAAAAATCGGAATAAAATTATGGCCTAACCCCAACCTGGTACACACACATCAAAAATGTATAATAAATGAATTTCAAATACAAAATTTGTTAAATTCGTTAGAAAAAGTTCTTGAATTCGGGGAAGATTTCCTGAGAAATTCGAATCTGGTAGGACTTCTTTTATCAAACTAAAAGAAATAGACAACTGATCTGAATATTTAGACTAAATTGCAGAATCCAAAAAAATGTTTTGTCAAGATTTCGCTGCGATTTATTGAAAGCTCGGTAAAACTCTTATTGCATGGAATAACATTCTGCAATTTTGTTACCATAAACTCTCGACTTTATCATTTTCAAACAATTTTGTGACACTGGTCACACACAGATCCAGCCGTATGAGTAACATAGAGCGAAGGAGGGTAGGCAATCGCTCATATGACCCTGCAAAATATATTCTAATCTAAAGTTCATGTTGATTTTTTAGTTATGAGAGGTTCAGGGTAAACTGCATGGAAAAACGTATAATTATGAAATTAGGTATATTTGTCATAGAAAGTTAATCTAATAAAATAATTCTGCATTCGCTTTTAGCAAAGTTACGAGAGGTTCTAACCAGATCACAAGCGTCAAAAAGTCCGAAACGAGATTTGATGCCGGAACACGAAAAAGAACCGAAACTGACAATAGTCACCGACGAAGCTGATGAAATGCATGGACAAAATCGTGAGGAAGCAATGAGTGCGGAATCTTCTCCACTCGATGTTGTGGGACTCTCATCACCGTCATCAGAATCTCCTGCAGCGTCACCCATACCAAGCACTGCTTTCGTTACGTCCGGCGTATCACGTAATATGTCGCAATCATCGGAAAATCAAAATGCTTCTAACGCAATCAAAGAAGAACCAATGGATCAGGAGGACAGCCCAACTGCTGAAAACAACGAAACATGACCATAAGTTTGCTTAAAGCGACTTGAGTTTTGCGAGGCAAGTTTATGAGATGTAGGCCGATACGGACACGTCGAGCAGTGTGTCAATCATTTTTTTCACTCAACAGACAATTTAGTTTGAAGGAAAAAAAGGGACAATGAATATTCTCATACACAATCGATTTTGGGGCGTAGAACACATTAGGGGTCATTCTCAACTTGGTAACTACAATTTCTGGGTATTTTAATGTTAGTACGTTATTCCTGGATCAAGTCTATATATCTGAAACAAATGACTGGTCATTTTTTTCCTAACCGGATAAGATTCTGTGCTTCGCCATATGATTAAGCCGTCTTATCAACTTTCCTCTCTACTGGGATCCTATGCTTATTGGTTTACACATTTCGAGATTGTAAAACAAAATTTGCTATTGCATGTTCTATTTTGAGCTGGACATTTCTTATGCAGCAGACTTTTGATTGATACGATAATTATGTTCTGGAAAATATTTCCGATATAAAAAAATGACTTGTTGGCAGATCGTTGGTTGATTTTACTTGCCAAAACAAGCCTCTATTGTACATTGCATTTGATTTTTACTTTTTCCTAATTTTTACACAAAAACTGATGGCTTGGTGGTCGTATCTTTTTTTCTTGCTGCTTTCCAAATTATTCTTTTTCGTTATTATAGTATTTTTTTGTTGTTTGACACCTTTTTTTTTTCTTTTACCATCATGACCAGGATTACGGACTCGTTTTTACGAAATTTTTTAACGACAAAAAATCTCTTTACGGCGCACGTTTTATAATTTGGAAGTCCTTTTTACACCTTTTTAGAATTTTACAATATATAACTAGAATTAGGATTGTTTCCACTTTATTGTGCCATCCGCTTCGTACAATATGGTCTAATAGACTTTGCCAGGACCGAAAAAGGGCGCACACAGCTATTTTTTATTAGCTTTCTAGTAATTATCATGTGTCATATGAAATTGTTCGATGCTGTGCAATTTTTGCGTTTTACTTTTAATTGAATCTATGTGACATTCATTTGAAGGTAGGTAATTCCTTTCGTCTGAATATTTTGTTGATATTAGATGGCATTTTCTTGGAATAATTGAAAAAAAAAAATTTTTGAGCTCTGTGGGAATATAAATTTCCAATTGCTCCAGTGATTTTGTTAAAATAATCATTTATTCCCTCAGTTTGATAATTATAATTGCTTTTGCATATTGGATAATAATATTCATGGTTTTTTAAAATAATCTTTTTTTTTGTAATGTCAGATTTTAGTATCATGTACTAATGTCTTTGCAGTTATTTTTTTTTTTTGAATTTTTATCTCGTCGGCGTGACGGGAATGGCCGTTAACAATAAATTGATCTATGAAATAAGGTCAAGATGTGCGTTCTAAGAAGAGGGGGGGGTTTCTAAAATTTGTAATTGCTAAGCTAGCGAGTCCCAAGCGGGTTTCAAGATATGAAATATGCAATCTACACCCAGCTATGAACTCGGAGAGAAAAAAAAAACCAAACTGTCCATAAAACTTACACCCGAATTCCAACTACGCTTAGTTAGGATGTTGCGGTTCCGTGCGAGTGAATAGTGAAATCGTTATCTCAACATATCCATAATTCCATGAATCTCTAACAATTCCTGTCTATCTATGCATTCATGAAGGACAAGGTTTGAAGAATTAATTCAGTTTATTGCAGATTTCGACTTCACAAAGCTGATCTCAATTTTAATAATTATCAAAACTGATTTCTGGCTGCAAATGTGATTTTTTGTCAATCATACCCCTAACGTATATCCCAGGGCATATAAGACAAATTTAAAAACTCAAAAAAGTAAGTTGCCTAACTAAGGTTGGCTTATATGCGCATCTCTGATCGCACTCAAACGGCACTGATGAGAGCGTACGATTTGTCGGGTTGGCTTATATGCAAATTTTTGTATCTACATCATTTTTGGGCCGTTAGTTGAGGAACAGTACTTTTTTGATGGGTCAAAACTTACTGGACTCCAAAAGGACATCTGGAATAAAGTGATGATACAAAAGTAAAAAAGCAAACTTCTGACTGAAATAGCATATTAACAACAACTTATAGTAATAGCAATAATAAGCAGTCATACACGAAAGGGAGAAAAGTTCATGAAAGCATAGAAATGCATGCGAGAGACGAATAAAAAAGATAGCAGCTAGCAGAAGAGCAAAGCATCTATTTATTTAATCCATGCATCTAACAATTTACTCGACAGTGGCGCCCAAAAATGTTGTGTCCCATTTTGCCACTTGTCCCAAAGTTCTGATTATTGATTGATATATATTGGGTGAAAAAAAATGGCAACTTTTTTTGGCCCACCCTGTATATATAAACATATTTGGGCAAATTCCATAACTGAGTTGGACTGGCAATTTGACAATCAACCTATAAGCTTTCCTCTCCCATGAACGAATACCAAATCAAGTTTCAGGACAAGTGGGCCATTAATTGACTGCTGGAACATCAAATCTAATTACATGCAGGATCAATATTGTTCAAAGAGGAAATGCAAGCACTGAAGCCCCTGGGTGCTCATAATTTAATGCGAAATAGACATTTCCAAAGTGGCAGTGGAATACAGTGCATAGTCAAAATATACAAATTATTCATCGAACATAATACAGACTAGTCGATATTGGAGACATGGTACCAAAGTACAATTAATCAGGAAATAGGATATTTTACTACTTCCTGCTTCATGTTATAAACTTTGACCTCTAGCTGGAATAGGATAAAAAATATAAAATTCAATCCAAGTACTTACATGATAATATTATGAGCTTATAAATTCTACATCATACACACATGGTCTCTTTGATTGTTATTATTAAATATTTCCGGAAATACAGTGATACCTCGTTCCTGAGTCGTTAGTCGAACATAACTCGTTCAGAACTGGTGTTCGACTACCGAAACTTTTTTGCCATGAGAAACAATGGCAGTTACTGTATTTCCCAGCAAATATAACCTGCCAATAAGACGGGTAGTAAAATCGCATCAACATCTGAATCTGAAGGTATTTTATGGTCTGAATTGAATAAAGCTACACCAAAAAAAAAAAAAAAAAATTACCACACTCGTCTAATAAGACAAACCCCCCAAAATCAGGCCAAAAATTTGGGTCTAGAAAAGCAACTTATTCGCCGAGAAATATGGTATATTAATTTGTTTTAACTACCCAAAATATTAACAAAACATGTACCTCGACAACAATAATTATTTAAATTCACTTGACGGCACACTTCGGTGTTCGAGCACTGAATTTGTGTTCAAGTACCGCAGCATTTTTGACTAGAGCCGAGGTGCATTGAGTCGTCGGACCACCGAGGTATCACTGTATTAGAAACATAACAGGCTATTATAGTTTTCTGACCATAATTGGACAATTTCAACTTTTTGTGAAAAGCAATTGTCGTGGGATAGAAATTTTTTTGTGTCCGTCACCAGTGTTTGTTTCTGGCGTTGTGTCTTGCTGTTTGTTAAGATCGAGTTCCCCGAGTGGTATTCTCTTCAACGGACTCTCTTTATGATCTTGTTTGTGACAATCACGACAAACAGCCATGTACTTATCAGACCCTCCTATGATTTCGACCTGTAATGGAGATGATATTCATTTAAAGCCGTCTGGACTTTGGAAATGAAGATGTCGAGATAAAGATGGCCCTATACAAGCAGTCTCTCATATCTCACAATATCTTAACGTAGAGCTCGACCGATATATCGGCCAACCGCCGGGCTGCGTGCTGCAACGGCTCTCGCCCCTGCTAACTGGTTTCCCAATATTTCTCTCGCTTTCATTTTGCGTTATAAAGGTGTCTCTCCTAATTCCCCGGTGTCTTATGATTGGCCATTTTATGCATGGTCATAACTGAAAAGTTATTATCTTGAGTAACAATGACTTTTATAAAGTGACATTTTTGAGAGAGTACACAAGGAGAAAAAGGCAAATTTAGTAACAGCATTAAACGGTGGTTCTATAAATAGAATCGATTGGAAGCTGGTGAGTTAGTAATCCTAGAAACATGGTACAGGTAGCTCAAAGCAATAATGTCAGTTCCGAATTTGTGACCTCCCAAATTCAATTTTGAATTTCTGGGGTAGCAGTTTTGTTTATCATTTTGCTGAAAATTACAAAATTAAAACCTAATCCATTATTATTGACTAAATAAGGTATTGAGAGTCTCTGGAAACAAAGTTATTGAAAAGGCCACATGTAACTGCACATATGCTATCACAATATCGAAGGAATTTATCATATCACGATTCACTTTAAAATATATCAATTTATAATTTTTTCATACTCTTAACATATGTCCATAGTTATATCTAAAAACGTCACATTAACAATACTTTTTCCTGGAAATAGCTAGACTTATATTAGAGTAGCAGGAAAAGTTACAGAATAACATTTGTTCGAGTAAAGACCGGAGTTAGCTAAATAAAAGTCCCACTGCCATGATAATAAATATCAAAATGAAACTACAGACTCACAAGGTGCATCATAAAAGCGTGGCTCAAAATATGATTTATAGTAATATCGGCCACCAGTTGGCCGATATATCGATATCGTCGTCAAAAAGTGATATCGGTCGAGCTCTAATCTTCTATTCGAAAGGACAATAGTCTTTCAGGTTCCCATGGTTGAGGTGGGGTGCATGGGATTCAAACCAGAGACGTGTTTTCGCCGATGCCACCACGTCATCGATAATTATTAATGAGAAGAATCTTAGCAATTAGAGTCATATTGGGGAATTAATATTGCACATCGTTGTGAAGTCGGAGTTGGACATGTCTTTACTTGTATTGGCGCCTGAGTCGTATTGGAAGACACAATAAAAATTTCAGACTTTGACTGGTAAAATTTCCAACACAAACTAAAAAAACATAGTTATTCAAACATTCTCGACAATTAAAGAAGACTTTCATATGCCAAACTTGTCATGGTTTAAATTTTCCTCTCTTTATTTGGGAGTTGAAGTCGAAGGCAACCAAAAGCCAGAGTCTCGTCTCGGCTCTAAAGCCCTAATGTTTGAATCATTTTCAAAATATATATATACTACATTGAAACTATGGTATTAAAATGAAAAAGATAAATCTCTATGAATGACTTTTTAATTAAATTCATATATAGTCTTAAATCTGTTATAAATTGAGTAAAAAGTAAAAATAAATGCTAGTCTCAGAAATTGCATCACAAATTACAACATTCAAATACAGAATGACATACATAACAATATTTTTATGCGCTTTGTTGAAAGTACAGCATGATTTCAATTTTACAGAACCATTGTTCGAAGGAGAAAAAGTCAGACCTGAGTTTCACAGCCGATTCTTTTTGTGAAGGCAGCTTCACCATAACACATCATACATACTGCATTAAGTTTGACAACACTTTCCGCTAGAGGTATTAATGATAAAAAAGATCCAAATCCCTGGAAAAAGGAAATATAATAAACTGGTAACTGATTTTTACCTGGAATGCTTTTTAATTTATTGTTTAGTATTGATTAAATTCAAACAATATTAATAAATAGAATTTTTATATTTTTCCCACAATGGGGCATGGCCGACCATGGCCATATTACCATTGAGCTAATTAATATGAAACCAACATTATCCACCCTCTGAGAACAATTAAACAATCCATAATTGGGGAAGATGTTCCAAAATCACCCTAGAATGGCTAAAACAACTAATGCCAAAATGCTAAAAAAGAATGCTATTCTCACCTTTCTTTGAAAAGTACCATCTAATGCAGCAACAATAACCCTCAAACCATTGTTAGCCATGGTTTCACAAAATTCAACAATGTCGGGAAACTAAAAAAATATTTTAGAACTATTAGACGAATTAATAGCAAATGACTTATGTTATATAACAGATACATATTTGCAATGTAGAAACCACAAAAAAAATGAGACTCAATTTTATACAGTTTCGACACTTTTACAAAATATATTGAAAATAATTTTTACTTCAGCTTGGTGTGTTTTGAAAATAAGTTTAATACTGCTTTTCTATGGCTGGGAAGCCAGGATTGGAGTCTGTGATACGCTTGCCACCACACCTCTGATTAATTTGCATTTGTTCGGGGATAGTCGAGTGCGAGAGGATTGCTGGACTCATCGTCTCCGTAGGGTGGTTCAGTTAACCACTTGTCGGCATGTATTGGGTTAGATAGGTTCCCACATCAGAGCCAAAAGAATTCAAAATACTTACAAATTGTCCTTCATCAATTCCGATTACTGAACAATTCAATGGAATAGAAACTTTTGATAAAACTTCAGTCTTTACAGCAGGTAGCATGTGTCTAGAAATAGAAGATTGTGAAAATTTTAATAAAGAACCAGAACAACATAGGCGGACCTTCGAAGTAAATTTATATTACATTTAATATTTTCTCTTAATCTCCATGCAGCCAGGATCACAGATTGTCAATGGTGATAGAATAAGTGTTTTCTAGGAAGGCTCAAAGGACATTGATTTCACCAAACATTCCTAACAGTCTATCAAAGACAGTTAGCATATGCCATAGTTTTGATTGTCAAAATTTGACTTTTTGAAATTCGGAGTCACATTTTTTTTACAAGATGGAGATGGGAGTTGATCAAATTTTTTCAATTCGAAGCCAGAAGCCAATTTCAAATTTCCTCTCATTCCACAGCTAAGGCAACTCAATGTATTTCTTAAAACAAAATTGATTATAAAGAAATCAACAATTCCCCATCAAATACATACTTATCGTGAGTAGACATGAAATCATCACTGTAACGTGAATCTTTAGCGTATTTGATCAATAAACATTCGTGATTTGCATATTTATATCTCTGAATTCTTCTCATCAATTCAGTCCTAAAAAGAATGTTAGATTGGTTCGAAACTTGTCCACAATAACAATGCAGTAAAAAATATCAATTACAATAAATATTGATGAAAATTAAAAAAATTGTTGGTGCCTTAATTATTGATAAGAAAATAGTGTTGCAACCAAATTTTCTATCACTGGGATAGTAAATTAGAAATATAAACATTAACCTTTGAACTTACGATTTTCCAGAAAACATTGGACCCAAAATGACCTGAAAAATAAATTTGACGGTGAGAAAACACAGTTTTTGACAGTCAGACACGCAGTTTACAACAATGGCAAGACTTTGGTCGGACAAAACATTACAGAAATACATTTATTTTCTGTGTGCAGCATGACTTCTTGAGTTGGATAGAATAGTTATGTTTATTCCTGATATAGCATCCTTGCAGTCAATGCATGTCTCCACTAGCATAAAGACAAAGATGAAGAATAGGGAGTTAGTCTCACGCAACCCAACTCAAAGTTATTGACAGTGATCATCCAAACAACTTGCAGATGAGGGAACTTCTTGTCCAACAGATTGGTATTACCAGAATTGCTTACTTTTTATTAGCTTTGGATTATAATCGAAATTGCGAAGTTAAAGAAATTTAAATTGACACAATCTGCTGGTTAAAAAAATTTGGTTTTTGACACGCAAATTCGACTCGGGCTCCAGCTCTGGAAAAATAGACTTTTGGAAACCAAAACATTGGCATTTGCAAAACTGTCTGTTAAGTAGGAATGCTTAATTACCTAAGGTTTGTGGAGTTTCTCAAAAATTCTTTTATCACTATTAAAACTGTGAAAGCAAATTTGACTCTGACTCCAGGACACAATCATAAAATCTGGGAAATTCATGATTTGGACAAAATAATTGATGTCTTTCAAATATAGGGATTATTCTTGGAATCGAAGATTTGTGACGCACAAGCAGACAAGTACTGACAGACTGATGTAACTTAATATTGTTCCCGTACAATAAATAGATAGTTTATTTGAATACTCCATAATATACACAAATTTAAAATGGAGAATTCTGGAGGGCGAGCAAAACCTTAGAAAGTTAAAAACATGAGAGATATCATGTGCCCGCCCAAAAACACAAACCTAGTAAACATGAGGCTTGGGCCAGAAATAATCAAACAAAAGATACTCGAATGTATTGAACTTCCGAGCTGTTATACTTTTGAAACACCTAAGATATTGCAGTATTGCAGCAATAACGACCAATTCAATAGGTACAGTATATGCAGATATGCCAGCAGTACGCTGTTAATTGAATGTTTGTTTTGTGATATTGCGATAAACCGAAGATCTTTGGCGTCAAATGTAAACCTTGATTAACGGATAATATTATTTCCAGTTCTCAAAAATTTTCTACAATATGTTATATTGATCATCACAAAATGAAACCCGCGACACCAGATTACTTTGCTGCTCTGACAGTCTACAGTTTTCAGGTTTTGATATCAGAGTACCAGCACATGTCTGCTTGAAATTAGCATAAGCTGAATGCCCTGTACGATCGTTGGATGTTTGTACTGCCCATATGCTTAAAATAGTCCATGTTTCGTAACTTATTGGGAAACCATCTTAATTCAATATTTCCTAGAAGAAAGCAACAGATTTGAGCAGATATAAAAGAGAGCAGCAAGAACACACCAACCAGCCTTCATTATTCATTACGATACCGGTACCAGTTCAGTTAACAGTTGAAATAAAGAAATAGGTACCGGTACATTTTTACCTGAATTTGTCCTCGATTTTTCGTCGGACTATGAGATAAACCAGATATAGACAAACAAGACATTGTAATAGGATTTCCAGCTAAAGACATAACATTGCATACATGTTAGAAATCATATAAAAAAACATTGTAAATTACCGGTATGAATTAAAAATATTATGTCTGTCTGTGCATTGTACAGTTGTAGAGCATTGAGGACCAGAAGGACTGAACAATGCTGCAATGTCAGAATGTACCGTAGTGAATACCGGTACGGTACCAATAGTCTGATAGTGTAGGTATTTGGGGCATTTATGAAAATTAAAATAAACCACTGAACTACCTGTACATCTAACGTTATGCCTGATTATACCGGAAACTCACATATGCACATGCCGTACTAAATAAATGCAAAAGTTGAAAGGCATAGCCAAAATTCCAAGCAAGTCACTAACCTGCAATACGAGAAGCAATCCCAGATTGAGCGACTCCGCAAGATCTTTTTTGTTGACATCCTGCGAGCGGCAACAACAAACGTCTCCCCGCCAAAATACGAATCAAATTTACGCGGTCAGGCATAGTAAGTTTACCGCCTATTTTTATTTATTTGTTGTTTATGTTAAATTTTTAAATTAGTTCGCTTTCCAAGAGCAACACCAACATCATTGTACCACACCATTAATCAAACTAAATTTTATGATATGGTCCGAATCATGAAACACACAGAAAACGTAGTAGGCTTACCGTGTCCTTTCTGTGCGACCAAGCGAATAGTTCTAATATCATTGGCAGAATGAGAGGCCGCGTCAATCTGCTGTGAGAAATAATAAGTAATAATAACGATAAGTGTATTTCGACTCCATAAAAAATTTGAATGTTGTAACCCTCCCCAGTCCCCCCACACACACAAAATAAAAAAAATGTAATGCCCCGGCCCTGGCTATGCCTATCTATAGATCCACTTTGGGTGAAAACGCAGCATTTTCTATTTATATGTTCTTGTAATCTATATGGTCACAGAGGAGGTAATCTCAGCTCAGGGCTCAGGCTCATTTGTCAATGTTGGGTTCATGGCTTCGAGAGTTGTAAAAGACAAAATTTTGTTGCCAACAATGCATTGGCGTTGTTATTGTAGTAATAACCGCGATTCCTCGTGTCAATGCACAACGAAGCACTTGCAGAAAATACCACAATTTATTTAATTTAATCCAATTCGTTTATTACTCCAGACCGACTGCGGTCCATATAAAAATACAAAAAAAGAATAAACATAAGCAAAAATGCAATAAATATAATGAAAGTGTTGAGGTACATCTTAACATACGATGAAGTTACAAAGAATTTTGTGCAAAAATAACATCACATTTTGGCCAGTGGCGGCGCGTCAATAGGGCCAACCGGAGCAATGCCCCGGTTGTTTTTTCAGTATAATAAAAAATATTCGAAAAATACCTCAATATCGGTTGCACAGACTGTCTACACTAGCCATATTCTCCCGACATGGTTCATTTTTCGCTCGCAAAGCCTTCGCCGAACGTCGACGGGGCGACGCCGATTTTGCCCCGGTTGCTCATTGTATATCGTATTCTCTTTTTTATCTTCCACTCGCCGCCTTTGTCTCGTTTGTTTTCTGTTTCTTTTAATAAATCATCGGGTTCGATCGGGGCTAGCCCCGAAATTATGACGACACAATGCCGACGTTTCTTACAACAACGTGTTGATATATTCACGCATTCCTTCTCGTTCGTTGGTTGCTTGAAGAGTTGATAGTTTCCTCGCCTTCGTTTTTGTCGCTTGTTTCGCTATTTGTATCAGTTAGAGACCTTTCGTCCATTTGCTTTCGATTTTCCACATTCCTTTTGAGCTCCTCACTTCTTTCCGGCTTCGCATTTCTTAGCCTTAGACCTCATAATGAATAAGGTTGATGCACTACTTTGCACTCCGTTTTCGCAGCTGCCGCTGGAACAAAAATTAGAGGTACAACGTTTTGGGCCTTATCAACCAAAAAATTGTTCACTGGAACAATCCCATGACGGAGGAAAGCGTCGGCGTACATTCTGCGCAGAAACTTGGTATAAAAAACACGAATGGTTGAGTTACAGCGAGGACAAAAATGCACTTTTTTGTTTTTATTGCCTACTTTTTGCTATCGCCCGTGACTCACGTTGGTGTAAATTTGGTTTTAGAGATCTTAAACATCTTTCCGAGCGTGCCAGGGATCATCAATCTTCTATGGAGCATCTGGACAATGCAGTAAAATACCGAACATTCGGAAATGTTAATATTGCAGCACAGTTGGATGAAGGACGCGCGGTTTCTATTCGTCGGCACAACCGAAACGTCGAGAAAAACCGCCATGTTCTCGGTCGATTGATAGATGTTTTGAAGTTCATTGGTTGTCACGAGCTGTCCCTCCTTGGGCACGATGAACGGGCTGGCTCTTCTAATAGAGGGGTATTTTTGGATATGGTGGAATACACCGCATCCCTAGAGACAGTATTGAGAGATCATTTTGATGCCGCAACTGTTTCGAAAGGGACATCTAAGGATATCCAAAATGATTTGCTCGACTCAATGTATAAAATTTATTTACAACATTTGGCTCTGGAAATTGAGAATTGCCAGTTCCTTTCGATTCAGTCTGACGAGACAACTGACATCACGTGCGTTTCCCAACTGGCTGTGATTTTTCGGTTTGTGAAAGATGATAAACCTACCGAGAGATTTCACAGCTTTGTACCAATCGTTGATCGCAGGCCTTGCGGGATATCGGCTGTACTGAAAGAAGTGTTACAGCCTTACAACGCGAAGTCAAAATTGATAGCTCAAACTTATGACGGCGCGGCAGTCATGAGTGGGTCGAAACATGATTTTCCTCATGCGCATTTTTTACATTGTTATGCACACCAATTTAACCTCGTTATTAAAAATATGTGTCTTGATACCCCTCTCGTCCGTATATTTTTTGCAAATGTTTCGGGGTTTTCTTCGGGGCGCTCTGACCTCCTTCGCCAGATATGTAGCCGCCGTCTCCCAGCTTGTGCACCAACACGTTGGAACTTCCAATCACGCGTGGTGCAGGGCGTGTCCGAAATTAGGTCTGAGCTCATTGAGTGTTTCAATGGCATTCAGAGCTCTCCTGTTTGGGACGAACGCTCTGTGAGGGAGGCGGCAGGTCTAAAGCGTCTGATAGAAGATGGTGAGTTTTCTTTTTTTCTTCACAATATTCTATCACGTGGATGTACTATACGGCGCATTGCAGTCAAGACTAATGGATGGAGCGTCTGTGCAGTCGTGTATTTCAGACTTCTGCGATGCTGTATCTCGTATCCGATAAACAATAAAATACGACGACACATGGAGTGCTTCTTTATGCCGCGGGCAAACAACGCAGCGTTTGATTTTGTCTGCAAAGGAATGCTGTGACATTCTGGTGAATCAAATAGGCGATCGTCTGCGCACTGAACACCTTGCCGCGTTCTCTTTAATGAACCCCAAAAATTTTTCAAAATTTGCACGTCAATTTCCCATTCATTTGTTGGCTACTGTCTCCAAATTTTACCCCATGATAAACGTGGGTAAATTGGAAAATGAATTGCGATGTATATACACCAATCAAACTTTTTTGAACATCACATCAACTTGCGCGCTTTATGGGTTCCTCATAGATAACACTCTAGTAACTACCTTTGCGGCGTATGCAAAATTTCTGGACACCATTTTGACGACGCCTATTTCTTCCGCCGACGCATAGCGAACATTCAGCACGCTAAAGCGTATTAAAACGTATCTCAGAAACACAATGAAGCAAGATAGATTAAATTCCTTGGCTGTTTTATCCATTCACAGAGACTTTATTTCTGGGATGCATGACTTTAATCAGCGCGTTATTGAGCATTTTGCCTCCAAGAAACCGCGGCGTGTTGCATATATGTTCAAGCAGTAGAAGTCTAGCAGCATATATATATCTATGAGTAAGCGACGCATGTCCTTATCTTTGCATTACCTTTCCTTTCTTCATAGTAACGTTTTAAACCTTATTTTAGGTTTTGTCTGCTTTCCCGAAGTTTCTGTTAATATGTCATTGTACTTATCTGGGTAAATATTGCCTTTCCTTTTGAAAAAAAAGGTTTCAAAATAAACTATGTCTATATTTATTAATCCCTTGACTTGGACCGGTTTTAAAGACACTTTCTTATCATTAAAAATTGTCGCTTTTGCCGATTGGTTGTTACCGATGGAATGGTTTTTATACTCATAAAATGATGGGAGAACTTACAGCGCTCATCTTGTCCCCGTAGATGGGGGTGACTCGGTCCCGCAGTAGCTTGCCCCGGTTGTCAAAATGACCACGCGGCGCCACTGCATTTTGCACATTGTAAAATCCACTAATATTTGATCAATATTTTTATTCATAATTACCATGATTTATTTAAAATAATGATTTTGGTATAGCAAAATAACCAGCGTCACATATGTGAGGCTGCTCGATAATCATTAGCCTACTGTTTTTTTGCGGGTCCCTTCGCGATTGGAAAATTTTTTTTTTGTCACCTCACTGTTTGTACACCTTAGTATTTTCGGTAAGTGAAAAAAACGACTGACGGACTACTGACTGAATTAGTTGAGATAGTTTGACTGATAAATAGCTAAAATCAGGTTAGAATCTTTTCCTCATTTCTACTCGTGAAGGTAGATCGTGCATAACTCAGAATTAACAAGGCAAATTTCACAATCATGATCCCTCTACGCAAAATTTTTTTTTCAACATCAGTACCCTAACTTTTCTTCTGAAAACATTCTAGATCAGATCAAAGAGTTGAATATAACGGAAATATCCGTCTACATCTAGCCGATACCGATCCCTAAAAATGTCCGATATTGCTAATGCCCATACATCTCTGGTCTTGACACGATATGGACGGAGATGTCACAGCTTCAACAGTTGTTTTCTGATTAACGCCATGATGATTTTGATCGCCCGGCTCTTATTCTGCTAATTCTTAACAATCAATAAAATTTTCTGCAAATATTCGTGGCCAATTTTTGAGTTAAAGAAGCACTACACGAACTTACGTCCCTGACGAAGTTATCTCAGCAATACAATTGCTTAATTTCATCTATCTCAGTAGGTTCGTTTGGAAGGACGATAGATGGTGAGTCAAAAAACGTCGGGTTATCGATGAATCGCTCGCGAATAGATCAGAATAGAGAGAAATATAGCAGAAAAACACGTACAGGTTTGATTCAGGGCAAGTGCCGCAAAATCGCTTTTCAAAGAATAAGCGCAACCATCATAATAGTACATGATAAATTCTGGTATGGGGTTTCTTCCCATAGCTGCCAACCGGAGCTGTAAATCCTGCCCACAAACTCTACAGAAAATCAAAAATATGTGAACATTGACCTTGACATACTTTTGTTTTTAAACCGAAAAAATAGAAAAGTTGTTTCTTGCTTGATCGCCTTTATCCTGGCTAAAAACTGCCTACATAAGAAAAATTAGACCCCTCCTTATGCACTGTATTACATTCGGGAATATACAAACCTAGCTTCTGAGTAAGCAAATAAAAACACGAATAATATATCGAATCATATATTTTGAAGTCCCGTTGTTGTTGTAGTTTTAGATATAAATTGTTGATCCTCTAAATGTGAGCACGATTAAAATAAATGGATTGTCCATGGTTCTCTAAATCGTTTTAACTAAGTAGTCTGAACTTTTAATTTTCCATATTTTTTCGAATTCTTTCTCTCAATTGTTGGAAGGCCTTTTCACTTTCAGAATCCCACCACGGCGCTATCCAAGTCCGATCTTCTGGGTCAAGGTTAGGCAAGATGATATCTATCTCTGTAATGAATAAAATGCACATGTCAAAATAGAAGAAGCCTTAAAACAAAACGTTAGTACGCGAAGACATTCGATAATGTTTCTTTGTGTTTACCGAGTCAGATATGAAATATGACGTCTGGTAGTTTGCAAAAGTTTCAATAAAGATCACAAAAATTTATAAGAAGAATCTTGATATTAATTATTTAACATTTTCAAATTAACTATGATTTGTTTCTATTACAGACTATCTGAGTAGAATCGTAAAAGGAAGAATAGAATAAAAATACAGGCAGCATCTTATTTTCTGTAATGTTATAAATTTTCTTACCTGTCGCATTATTGTCCCCTTTGGTGTTGTTAACGCTCTCAGCACTGCAAATATAACGTAAATAATATAAAATTGTTTACAATATTGTAACACACGTTCGAACTACCGTAATTAGCATACATATTAAAGAGGCATCCAGCAAGCATATTATATAGATTCGTAAGAAGGCAAGTCATTTATTAAACTATTTGAAAAGATTTGGGTTTATAAGTTCATATAAACTCCAGTAATCTATATATGATTATTCAGGCACATTATACACTTATCTGTGAAGGCCTCATCGAATCGAAAATTTGTTAACAGAATTTTCTAACTTTTTCATAGAATGCGTCAAAGTTCTAATATTTTCGTATATTTCGTTATCATACATATTTTTCCGTTGTGCTTACCAGATGCAAAACGCCGCAACTTGCATGATCAGCAGAAGCTTGAAAATCTTTGATGCCATTTTCTCTTTTTCGCGATATGCTGCTCTCGATGAACATCGACAAAAGTGACTCGTTACGATCCTGTCAGCCTTATATTCTGAAATAATTTCCGGTTATTTTTAAAACATATGACACTTTAAATATATTAAAATTAATGACAAACCTCCAGATGGGTCGTTTCCATAAATTACGTTTCTATGAATCGAAATTTGAAAAGTATAGTTTTTTTTTCATGGTAATTTTATTTTTTGTAATCATTTTGAGCAGATTATCTATAACTCTTTAACGCAAGGACCGTTTACATAAATTTCCCGAAAATTCAGCAGATACATATTGTGAAAAAACGTCATCCGCATGCACATGCAGATTTAATGCAGCCAATGCGTAATTAAAATTTTTGTTTAGTGTAGTATAGTAAGAACCACTTTTTTCACTACTTCGTAAATTAGATTCGGTATACCTAAACAATTTTTTCTCATAGTCTATTATATATACAGTTCGATTATATATCTAGCCTTTAGTAGTTGTTTCTCAATTAAATATCCAGTCTATAAAATCTCAATCATTAGTTTGACCTGATTTTCAACTTTGTTACATGAATGAAAATAAAAATTTTAGGGAAATTTTTTTGGAGGTGATTCCTTTGCCCCAAATTGTTTAATTTTATTCTTGACCGCTTTTCATCCAACATAGCCTATTTATTAAAGCAAACGCTGACTTAAAATTTTAACTACCGTGATTGCATATTAGTTTATTTTATGTTTTCCCGCCGTTATTGATAAAGTAATTATGATTATCGGTTGATATTTTCCATATGGAAATAGATTGAATTCTAAATTCAATATGCGAAAATATCCGGCGTTTTGAAAATTATTGGAAAAGGGTTACATTAATTTTTTACAACGAATTTCACTAGTACATATAGATAAATTAAGTCAAATGCAAAAATATATCAGAAAGAACATATTATTCATACATATTATCATAAATTTTAAATTATTTTTTCACGAGAATGTTACCCGTAGGTTTATTATATTGAATCTATGTAAAAAAAATGGTAAGATTATATGAGTTGCGCAGTATTGAAAATGGATGTAGGTGGCTGAGCACAGACTAATCATGATGTAGACACTGATTGTTCTGTTTATCTTCAAATTTCCAAATGCTTTTTTTATTTAAATGAATTTAGTAGCAATATAGTTAATATTATATTTTTTCTACAGGTTTGGTAAAGAAGGTGCTTTTTTAACTAAAAAATCGATTTTTGTTGTTATACCAAAGATATTTGGTAATATTGCTCGACTAATACCCTTCATTTCGCAACAGCTGGTTATTTTCACCTATTTAATTTAGAATTCAATCTATTCCCATATGGAAAATATCAACCGATAATCAGAAATACTTCAGCAATAACGGTAGGAAGTCATAAAATAAACTAATATGCAATCACGGTACAGTTACAGTGGAATTTTAAGTCAGTGTTTGCTCTAATAAATTGGTTATATTAGTTCAAAATGAGTCACGAATAAAATTCAACAATTCGGGGAAATGAATCGCCTCAGATGAATTTATTTTTATTTATGTAACAAAGTTGAAAATCAGATCGAACTATCGATTGAGATTTTATAGGCTGGATATTTAATTGAGAAACAACTATAGTTGTTCGGTATACCGTAATGCTAACCTTATATATATTAAGCTTCTTCTATTTTGACATGTACATTCCATTCATTACACAGATAGATATCATCTTGCCTAACCTTGACCCAGAAGATCGGACTTGGATTCCAATAGTGCCGTGGTAGGATTTTGAGGAATTTTCGGAAAATTTGAGATGGAGAGGTGTGGAAAGGTATGATATGGAAAGAAGAAAAATGGGAAACCCTCTGATTTAACACTCTCACATTCTAATCGCCGAGGATCAACAATTCATATCTAAAACTACAACAACAACAGGACCTAAAATATATGATTCCATATATTATTCGTGATTTCATTTGTTTAATCAGAGGGTAGGTAGGTCCGTATGTTCCAGAATATCGTCACGCTAATAACCGAATTGCGTAAGTCGTTTTTAGCAGTTTTGAGAAAAACGTAAAAAACTTCCTAATGATATTGTTATGCCATTGAAAATCAATAATTTGCCATGGTTCAATTTTTTGGTCGTAGCCGGATTTAAGTAATTTGTATGACGCAGTTATGTGACGTCATAATGGCGCACTGTGCCTTAGGCAGAAATGTGTCTATGACTTTTGGGGACATACGCCAGTATGTTCCCCAGCTTTTGTTTTTAGGGGGGGGTGTTTCAAAATTTAGGGGGTGGTAAATAATTTGCTATTAGAGATAAAACTAGGCTATTTGTATTCTTAAAAAAATGGTATGTATTTAAGAAACGATGTACATGGGGGCCCTCCAAGTTGATTGACGGCAAGCCAAAATCCACAGCAGAATGAAATTGTAAGGCCAAAAAAAGGGGAGCGAGTAAAAGTGCGGGACGACACAGCTGGGGTTCAGGGCGCGCTTAAGCGCCCTGAGAAAATTTTGAGAAATAGGCACCAAAATAGGCTCTAAGCTTGATTTTAGATACACCTAGCATCGCAGTTTGTTATGTAATGAAATCAATAATTATAATATTTAGCTGATTGAATTCCCGGGGAATAGATAACAAGCACGGCTTTCAACCGTAAATATATACTACTACGTTTCAACAAGTGATTTGCAACTGATAGTGACTAATGAATTAAGTTACTTGCTCATCTGGCATTGTATAAATGGCTACTTATGGCTTGTTTTGTTACACATTTCTAATTTTTTTGAACAGGTTTGTTTGACTTTTGTATGAATTAAATTTTGAAATACGCTCGTCAACTGATCATAATGTCGCATAATGTTGTATTCCTTCAGAACTGAAATATTTTGTTGGTAAGAAGACAAATCGCTGAAGTTTGATTCTTTTCAATAAAGAAATAAAAACGCTGTCATTCATCTAAAAAACGTCTGTTTTCAGTGCCTAGTTTTCGTTTTGTGACATCTTTAAGCTTTCTTAATATACGGCTGATATCTAAAATACCGCAGTGTGTTATCCTAATACCCATACGTATACATAAGATACCGGAATATTTCAATTGTTACGAAATAAACGTGCTTAAACTGTGATAATGATGTAACAATAGACGGTATCTAAAACTCAAAAGGTACCACATGAAGGATTAAACTATTTCACTCGAGTTCGGCGGGCCATTTTAAATCGTGACGCGGGCCGTAATTGGCCCGCAGACTGCGGTTTAGAACCCATCAGTGTGGAATCGCACCTCAAAATTAGGGGAGGTGTTTGAAATTTTAGGGGGGGTGTTCACCCCCTATAGGGGGGGTGTAGGGAAATCACTGACATACGCAATTTTGCAACTTGTCTATATGCACCAGTCCTGAAAACCAAACATTCCAAAATCGAATGTAATACTCAGTATCTACGATTTCTCATCCCCAAATAAGCCAATCTGTTTCAATTACATTATTTTTTATGTTTAAAAATATATATTTCATCAATATAACACGCTCTGCACACCCACCGAAATAAGACTAAGATTAAATATAGAGAATAAAACAGCAATGCACCCAATATAAAAGCCTACCAAGGTGAATCGGACACGGACAGTGAATATCACAAGTGCACACCTTCCTATACTGTAGTATAAATTCAAATTTATAAGCGCTAGAATCTGAGATGCAAAAACTTGAAAATACTTCACCGATGCTACTTTGCCTTTGTGACGTCACAATAGTCGTACGGTAACGACGATAATTCATTATGACGAAACAATTGCACAAATGTGCATGTCATACAAAATCTCCATTTTTATGGGTTTCGGAATTCTTAAAATAAAATCTGAGTTAACAGACAGGTGCGCAGCATTACATAAATACCTATTTTATAAAAAAAAAACTCAAAATCACCAAAAATGACTTACGCAATTCGGTTATTAGCCCGAGGATATAATACAATGCATAAGGAGGTGCCTCATTTTTTGGGGGGTGTTTAGTTTTAGCCAGGATCAGGCAATCAAGCAATAAACAATTTATCTATTTTTTAGATTTAAAAACAAAAGTATGCAATAAGTCAATGTTTACACATTTTGCAGATTTTTGATTTGCTAAGTTTGTGGGCAGGATTGATAGTAGTATCTATAAAAAAACATACCAGAATTTATCATGCACTGTTATGAAAGTCGCGATTAGTCTTTGAGAAGCGATTTTGCGGCATTTGCACTAAATCACAAACCCGGACGTGTTTTTCTACACTATTTCGCTCTATTCTGGACTATTCGCGACCGATGACCCGACGATTTTTGGCTTACCTGTCGAGATAGTGAAATTATGCGCTTGTATTACTTGGATAACTTTGGCAGCGACGTAAGTTAGTGGAGTGCTTGTTGAAGCTCAAAAATTGACCAGAAATGTTTGCAGGAGCTTTTATTGATGGTTGAGAAAATAATAAAATGTAACCCGAGCGATCCAAATCACCATGACGTTAATCAGAAAACAACTGTTGGAGCAGAGACAGCTTTTTCATACCGTGTCAAGACCAGAGATGTATTGGCAATATCGGACATTATCGACCTTTTAGACATATACAGTATCTCTTTTGCTATCTATAAATCAATAGTATAGCGGACCGCCATGAGTTGAGACCCTGCATTTGCATACATACAAAGTTACATGCCAATTCAGGATGCAATTAATTGAAGTATATAATTAATAAACCCTCAGTTGTGAGTCTCGTAACGCGACATTAATGCATCTGCATCACAAACATCAATTTCTCATTTTCTGGAACATCATGTACTTCAAGCTGAAATGATGTGCACTGTAAATATTACTCACAGACAACTGTTTTATCCCGTATGTCCCGAACACTTGAGGTGGTGATTACGTGGACATATTGCGAAGGAAGCCGTAAACGACCAGCGGTTACGCGAGCCATCCCACGACGACGAGGAGTTCAGCAATCCTCTCGCACATAATTATCCCCCTCGAATAAAAATCAGTTTTAGTTATGATCATATATATTTTGATTAATTTTGGGTCTAAGGTATGACAATACCGCAGGATAATAGAGCTGGAATGTAATGTATCATACCATCTTACATCAGGAAACAAATACTTTGACGCTTTTGGTATTGCTCAAAGCATGCACACTGAATATTATCTCATAGAACTAATCTGTTAATATGCTTATAATATTCTAATAGCATTTCTCATCATAATTAAATGAATGCTTTTTTCGATAACTTTTAAAACGCCGGATATTTTCATCCATTGAATTCAGGATTTAATTTATTTCCATATGAAAAATATCAACCGTTAATCAGAAATATATAGCAACAACGATAGGAGGTCATAAAATAAACTAATATGCAATAACGGTAGTTACAAGGAAATATTAGGTCAGCGTTTGCTGTACTAAATAGACTCTATTTAGTACAGCAAACGCTGACCTAATATGCGCGACTTCATTCCACTGATTGTTGAAATATTATTCGTGACTCATTTTTATCTAATATAGCCTATTTATTACAGCAAACGCTGCCCTAATATTTCCCTGTAACTACTGTAATTGCATAATAGTTTCTTTCACCGCTTCCTATCGTTATGGCTATATATTTCTGATATTTTTTCCATATGGAAATAAATTAAATTCTGAATTCAATAGATGGAAATAACAGGCGTTTTAAAGTTTATCGGAAAAAAGTATTCAATTAGTTTTTATGAGAAATGCTATGCATATTAACAGTTTAATTCTATGAGATAATATTTAGTGTGCGTGCTGTATCCATTAAGCTATACCGAAAGCGTCAAAACAGTTATTTCCTATGAGATCGTAACCGTTAGGAATACGCTCCTACCGCACCTCTGATTACCCTGCGTGGGTTCGAATGTTGGACCCCTCGCCGTCGTAGGGTGATTCTAGTAACCGCTTGTCGGTTACGGCTTCCTACACCATTAAGTCCACGTACCCGAAAAAACAACAACAAGTAACAGGCTAACTAATTCCATACCCAACATATGTATGGGGTCCAACATTCGAACCCACGCAGGATAATCAGAGGTGCGGTGGGAGCGTATTCCTAACGGTTACGATCTCATAGGAAATAACTGTTTTGACGCTTTCGGTATAGCTTAATGGATACAGCACGCACACTAAATATTATCTCATAGAATTAAACTGTTAATATGCATAGCATTTCTCATAAAAACTAATTGAATACTTTTTTCCGATAAACTTTAAAACGCCTGTTATTTCCATCTATTGAATTCAGAATTTAATTTATTTCCATATGGAAAAAATATCAGAAATATATAGCCATAACGATAGGAAGCGGTGAAAGAAACTATTATGCAATCACAGTAGTTACAGGGAAATATTAGGGCAGCGTTTGCTGTAATAAATAGGCTATATTAGATAAAAATGAGTCACGAATAATATTTCAACAATCAGTGGAATGAAGTCGCGCATATTAGGTCAGCGTTTGCTGTACTAAATAGACTCTATTTAGTACAGCAAACGCTGACCTAATATTTGCGTGTAACTACCGTTATTGCATATTAGTTTATTTTATGACCTCCTATCGTTGTTGCTATATATTTCTGATTAACGGTTGATATTTTCCATATGGAAATAAATTAAATCCTGAATTCAATGGATGAAAATATCCGGCGTTTTAAAAGTTATCGAAAAAAGCATTCAATTAATTATGACGAGAAATGCTATTAGAATATGATAAGCATATTAACAGATTATTTCTATGAGATAATATTCAGTGTGCATGCTTTAAGCAATACCAAAAGCGTCAAAGTATTTGTTTCCTGATGTAAGATGGTATGATACATTACATTCCAGCTCTATTATCCTGCGGTATTGTCATACCTTAGACCCAAAATTAATCAAAATATATATGATCATAACTAAAACTGATTTTTATTCGAGGGGGATAATTATGTGCGAGAGGATTGCTGAACTCCTCGTCGTCTGTACCGGTAACCGGACGAGAAGCCGTGGTTCGCCATATAATTAAGCCGTCTTATCGACTTCCAGCTTCCTCGGGATAAATATGTAATACCTATCCTGTCCTAATAATTGTGTTCTAGATATCCTTATGAAATATGGTGGACGTGGGATATGGGCATTTGTCTCTGTTCTGGACATTGGTATCAAACTACCGGCAATCTTATTTGATAAGGAACATTGCATGTGTTGTATGTGTAACATTTATGTGTAGTTGAGCACAATAACGAGGCGTTAGTTGTTGAGAATTACAGTCAATAAAAATCCAACTTCAACAAATTGTTCGCAATCAAAGCTCATTTAAATTTTTTGATAGTTTAACAACTGCTAGCTTAGCCTGATTTTTTAAACTTTATTATATAATATAACATATATATATATTGAACGACTTTTTTCACTGATTATTATTTTCTACTAATATTTCCCTGTTACCAATGTAAGTGATTGCACATTAGTTTATCTTATGACTTCTCCTAAATATTTTTCACGTAGTAATAGATTAAATTCTAAATCTAATACACGAAAATATCCGGGGTTTTAAATATTATTGGGGAAATGCTTAACTAATAGTAGGAGCATATGCCTTCGGGTCCGTTAAATTTTTTTAAAATAATCTTTAAATTACATGCTATCAAGTTTACATACTTTATTCATATAAAATAACAAAATCTCGCCTGTATTTTTGTTAGATATGCCAAATGAAAGTAATTTCCGTGTGGAATTGAAGACGCGCACATGTTTCATCTCACTGCCCTTCAATGGGCACAAAATGAAATGACGCGCCGGTCAAGATTGTTATTTCTACCTCTGTACTACTTCGATTATGACATAATTTGTAAACTTTTCATTGCGCCATCGCCAAGAAAGCGGTGACACGGACGCCATTATGACGATTTACAATGACGTCACACATGACGCAATCCGATAATATCTCGGCCAGAATGAGTATAAAACCAGACGTTGAAAAGACTAGGACCGTAGGTTCTTTATTGAAAGTGTTACGGTATCGCCTTGATGGCGACGATGCTGTACTGGTGCCGGGGCGGTATCGGAACGTTATATCAGTATATAACTTATTTTGGTTTGTTACCTTTTGACATTTAGCATGATTCTGTATGTTTTAATTTTAGTTTTTTTCCTATATTCATGATATTTAAATTCAACGCCGTCGGATACCCGTAAGTTACCTATCAACGGAAAAAAAGTATAAATGGACGGCTTTCTAAATAAATCCGGGGAAGCCAGAAGAAATGTATTGCAAACACTCTTCTTCAGCAAAAATGGAAAAACCAAGGAAGAACTAGAACATGACACCGTGAAAGAAATCGTGGAAAAGGCATTTAAAAATGAGAAGTCAAATCCATACTTTTCAATTATGATGGATGCAATGGGAGACATTGGGTAAGATTGCAATAATAGAATACCTGCACGAGCCTTTATTTCATTGATCAATAGGCTGATATGGTAAAAGTTCCATCTTTAGATCTTATGTGAGAGGAAAGTCGATAAGCTGGCTTAATCTTACAGTGGATCGTGTGGTCCTGGCCGTGGATATTCGTATAGAGATGACAGTATGATGATGGAGAAAGGCATAGCCAGCTAGTGAACTAGGTAGCAAAGAGTCCTTTCGAACATAATTTGTCCTCAATGGGGTTCAAACCCACACAGTTCAATCAGATATGTGGTAGCAACCATGCTCATAGTACTTTGCAGGATGCATCAACCCGAGATTATGATTGTTGAATTTGAATGCCAGCTTCAAATTAGAAATATTTCTTATATATCCAGGTGTTTTGTTGATGTGGATACTAATATTGCTGTAAAACAATGCGGTGAGGAGCTGGAGGAAATGCTGGGAGCTTTCAACTATGAAAAAAATGAAATAGAAATATGTCAAGATTCCTTCAGTAAAGCCTCTTTTGCTAGCCAAACAAGGGCAATGCAGACAACATTGAGGTAAATAGACAAAATTTGTCACTGTTAACTCCCACAAACATTCTCCGGACTTATCTTATTATCTTTTTATGCAGTAATATACTTGTATCAGCGTACGATCACTGTCGAGCGAACATGAACTACAAGGAACCAGAGATGGACATGTGTAGTTCCATTCGTGCCGCAGCACTTAGCGGACAATGCAGTTCGGAAACTCTGCAGATGGGTTCAAGAAAGGTTGCATCTAGCAAGAGGTACTAACAATTTTACAGTTACTAAAAATAAGTGAACTTCTGTGAAAATTTATTTAACACTTCTGTTTGTGTACGATTATACCCAAGAGTTTGAAAAATCTAGAATGCTTATATTTAAGTTGTGATCTCTTTTCAATGACATAAACCAGCGGTTTTCAACTGGGGGCCAGTGGCCTCACCAAGAGGGCCACAGAGCTAGCCGCAAAACGCACCCTTCTACATTTTACTTTAAAAGAAAACTCTGTTCTTTCTAGTTTTATTGCCTGATAAGGTTATTTCACATAGTGTTTTCACTTTGTTGAGCATGAATTGTTTGAACATAATGGGATTTGGAATCTACCAATCGAAATAACACCATAAATACCACTGGAATGATAAACAGGGGGGCCATGAGTGCTGAAAGCATCTATAAGGGGGCCACCAGCCATAAAAGGTCGAGAACCCTCATTTACATTTAATTCATGTATCAAAAAGCAAATTATGTAGTGGGACAACAAGACTCTGAAATGTCACGTTATTTTTCCGTATTCTCAGCAGTAATGATAATTATTTGTTTACAGGGGTTACCAATCCTGTGTGATAAGGAATGCAGTACAATCTTTTCTGTCAAGGCATCCAGATTACGACCTGAACGCTGTTCAGCCATTGGTTAAGAAGGTTTTTCTGACATGTTTTTACGATCACAGTCCCCATGATAGACTGCCGTATGATGAGAAACAAGCAGAACTGTCTTATAAAGCTTATATACATAGAAATCGATATTCTATATGAATGACCTGATGTTTTCTACATTTGTATTATTTTTTTAATATTTAATTTCAAATGAATTCACTGTTGCGTGATATTTTGACCATGGTGGTCCATCCATATGTGTTGAGTGTACGCTTCGCTCCCGCTACCCCATCATCTTGCTTGCTAATTTCCGAAAATAAGGCGAGCTCTCGAACCCTTACTTTTTGTCACTGGTGGACTCGCTCGAGAGACCAAATAATTTAATTGTTCCGGCATCTCTATCATGTTTATACTTGTCTTTATCATCACATGCGAATGCGAGTAAGAGTTGCTTAGGATGCCACGCTACGGTGAATGTTGGTGATTCACATTTGACCTGCATGGCAAACAAAAAAAGAGCAGTGTCATCCACAAGTGTTCCCAAGAATTAAACCAAGAAACAGAAAAATATTCAGTCAAATAGGGCAAAAATAGCCCCTAGCGACTTCGATTTTGGTTCAGTATTTCCGCCTCCATATACTCTGTGTCTAAATCAAGTAAATGATAGACAGAGTACCTACCTCACAAACATTTTCACCGGTTGCTACGCTCGAAATATCAATGAAATGATCTTCAGATGCCGAAGCTATAAGTTTGCCATCATGACTGAAACTCAATGTTCGAACAGGCCAGTCAAGCCTAGCACAAAAATATATTTAAGAAAATGTTTAGTGGCTCTGAAAATGCAGTATATGCTTGAAGTTTTTTCGTAAAACCTACCTTGAAAATGTCTGCACACAAACAAGTTCTGTTACATCCCATAAATTTACTAATGCATCAGCACTGCCTGTTGCAAAATAGCGACCTGTAGGGTCAAACTCAATGCATATACAGTTGGCTGTATGTCCACTAAGCGATTGAATCAGCTTTAGGTCCGGATAACTGTAAATTAATTTCACAAATTGTTAGATAAGTTAGTTAGCCTAATGCCTGAAGTAAAAGCAGTCCCTGTTATCTAACAATATCTCAAAGCAGGGTGATCCAAGGTTGCGAGTTAGGCAGGCCAAAAACTTTTTAGGATGTTTCGCGGGCCGCAGTCGGGGAAAATCTAAAAGTGATCAAAACATTTACGCGAGTTTACTCACTCTAAATATATTTAAGAATAAGAGTTTACTGTGCTAATCGGTTTTTTAGAGAGGATTTATAAAGCCTTTAGTTATTTCGTGGTATTTTTGGGTATCTTTTCTCGTGTTTGGTTTTGTAATTAACGTCGCTTAAAATTATATACTTTCGTGACGAATGTTACTTGAAAACACACCAGAAACTGTGATTTAACGGTGTTGTGGGTAAGGAAATTCGTTTCCTCTCAGTTTACATTGGTCACCTTTTTCTACACTCTATGTATGATGAATTATTATATATATTTGAAAAAATGTATTACTTGTAGCGTGAGCAGGCTTAGTGCTACCATCAAAAAACAACCAAGTTGTGACCTAGGACCCAGATAAAAAAAAAAAAAACTGGATCGCGCGGCGCTAAGTCATCTCTGTGGTTCTTCACTTGCACTGGCCCACCGTTTTCAGCAAGCCATTCTGAGAGAGAAGAGAAAGCACCAGACCTTGCCTGAATAACCACACCGTCTACTCGCCCCCGCCCCCAGATGCCGATAATACTTATCTCCTTTTGTGTTTTACTGGTACTCTAACACTCATTTATATATAGCTTGAAAAGAAGGCCCCTCACCCAAACCTAATTAAAAGAGTACTTATTTTAGTAATAGTGCTTAGGAATGTATTTGAAAGAAATATATGCTGCTTACCTTAGTATATTAACAGTACCTAATCCTGTCGTCAGAAAAAATAGATCATTGGAATTATTCCAAGAAATTTCATTCACCTGGACAAAAAAAAAATATTTCACAAAAATATCCATTACTACGTTGGCTTAGTTACAAATACATGAAACTTACTTCAACTTTAAACTGCTCATATGCCTTTACTTTCCATGTTTTTGTATCAAAAAATGTCACCAAATCTTCTTTATTTCCAACTGCGATTGTTTGCCCATTGGGACTCCAGCATATGTTTATGTTTTCACCTGGAATACCAATATCGATGTTGTCAAACTAAATTATAGAAATATCTCAAATCGGTGGTTGGCATGCTGTGTTAAGGGTCAGGAATACACTTGCCATCGCACCTCTAATTATCCTGCGTAGGTTTGAATCTTGTGGGGAATAATTATGTGCAAGAGGATTGCTAGAGTCCGTATCTTTGTAGGATGGTGGTCGGTTACAGCTTCATGAAGCAAATCAGTCCCTACTGTCTGGGAAATGGATTGGTGAGATTTCCAAGAGCAAGTTTACAAGAAATCGCTAATTGAACATTACCTTTTGTTTGCATCGTTATTGAGCATTTCCCACTTCTTGCGTCCCATATTCTTACTGTTTTATCACCGGAAGCAGTTGCAAATAAATCTGGATGGCTTGGATGCCAACAAAGCTGATCTACACTGTCTGTGTGCCCTTTGTATGATTGATCTCTGGACTAAATCATCAAAAAATGCATATTAGTCCACATATCTATCGTTATATCATTTTTGTTAAAATAAGGAAATGGACAATTCATTCCGAGAAGGTCATATCTAATTCAGCTTGGTCTTTTCATTCAATTTACATTAAAAAAACAATCACCACATGCTCTTGGCGCGGCGGTGTGGCTCACCATGCTATGAGTTAGGAATAGGCTCGCGTAGCACCTCTGATTACTCTGCGTGGGTTCACAGGTTCGTATCCAAGCGGGGATAGTTATGTGTGAGAGGATTGCTGAACCCCTCGTCGTCTCAGGGTGGTTCACGTCTTAACTAATGGTTGCAAGAAAGGTATTTAACATGTTATTGTATCAATTTCTTCAATAGGTTCACATCTAGAATTTTGAAAATACTGAAGAAATAGCACCAGACTATGTTATAATAAAAGTTTTCTATTTCAGTTATATTGCATTTTCCCACAAGAAACCTGGTTTCTGGGAAATCCTTCCCCCATTTTTACAATACCAAGATACAGCATTGTCTGATACAATATGCACGTAAAACTTTTACGAACCAGCCTGTCTTTATCCAGAGTAAAAACACTGGCAGTTTGATCGAAAGATCCAGAAGCAAGCCTTCTTCCGTCACAGTTCCAAGCAACAGAATGGACTTTCGATGTATGAGCACCATATTCTTTTTGTCGATCGTGTAATTTAAAATATTGGTGCATTTTCTTCGTGAAATCCATTTTTAACGTGGCGCGCGAGCTTTAATTTTTAGCAAGCCGCAACTGATCAATTTTAATTTTAATTTAACCCGGTATTATTATACCAACACAGAAGATTTACTGAATAAATCATTTTATATTTATCAGGTTTACATTAAAAATACGAGGCAAAAACACTCTTTCACTTCAAATTATTACTATTTCATTGCTGTTATAGGTATTCACCTAGTTTAAGTAAATTTATGTAGTTGATAAACAGTTTTTGTTTTTTGAAGATTATAATGATAAATGATTTGTTAAAAGCTTTGATGCATGAATATTTATGAATTGGACCGCCAATAAATACTAATGTACAAGTAAACACCGTGCATTTATTGTGGAATGTTTTCACTCAAAATGTTCCATTAGTAAAAAGCTTACTTTTATATATCTGGTTTTGCCTATAAACAAAATTTTCGTTACTGGGCAAGCGTCTTATTGTAAACCTAGAAAGCTTCATAGCGAGAGAGAACGGAACGTAGTTGTGAATTTGACGTCCTTACCTTTTTGGGGAGACAAATGCGATTTACTTACTCCAGCTTGTTATGCGCAGAAGCTGCAAAACTTTTCCTTGCCAAGACTTAAGAATATTATAGAAAACGCAATGTTATGATTACTCTATGTGGCAAACATCAATGGATGTTTAGGCAGGAATCTTTCGAAGGCATTCATTTTTTTTTGCATTGTGATATAAGATGGTCAGCACGTTCGCCTGATCTTACACCTTCTCACCATATTGCGTGGTGATATATAAGGGGATGGTGTACAAGCACCGATAAACAACCATGAATGGATTGAAAGCTGCAAAATAATAAATGAAATTCAACGAGAAATTTTCGAAGAGTAGTGGAAACGCTCGCAGCAATATATGGACCTTTCCCCGAGAATAAACTTCCTTGTTTACTTCGGGATATTGGTCAATCAGCAAGATGCCCAAAGGGACGTAACAATGCTCCCTTTTCGAATCCGCTCAAATACTTTTCTCACTCAGGACAGATTTTCAAGCCTGGTCGTAAACATTAACTTGTTTTTGAACTCTATTCGTTAGTTTTCGGAAACTTAAATCAGATAATTCAATAACTAGGATAGGATAGGATTTACATATTTATCCCGGGGGAGAGGAAAGCCGATAAGACGGCTTATCCATATGGCGAACCACGGCCTCTCGTCCGGTTACCATTCCAAGTCGGGTATGGGATTAGCTATATTGTTTGTTTTCGGAAGCATGGACTTGGTGGTGGAGGAAGCCGTAACCGACCAGCGGTTACGTGAACCACCCAACGACGGTGAGGAGTCCAGCAATCCTCTCGCACATAACCATCCCTGCATGGGATTCGAACCTGCGAACCCATGCAGAGTAATTAGAGGTGCGGTGGCGAGCGTATTCCTAACGCTTAGCCCGTTGAGCCACACCGCCGCGCCTACTACTACTACTACTACTCTGTCTTCCTAGGAGTTTTAATTTAATTGCTCTAATAAAAAAATTAGTGTAGACATAGCTTTGATAGCCTAGGCTAAAAATTTTTATCGGTACTTTTAAAAAAGAGATTGTTGTATTGTATGCGATGAATCATAATGATGGTTTGGAACACATACCCCCAGTTTACTGGCGCCAACTCGCAAGAACACTCTTGATAATAACCCCGAACATTTCGCAATGGTAAAATATCGGTAGAATTTTTCGGGGGTCAAAGGTCCGGCATCATGTATGGCTCATTTTATACATGGTAATTTTCTAATATTAATCTCTAATAATCGACGCTAGTTGGCTGATTCGCATACGATAATCACCATCAATAACATTGATTTTGAAACTTTCCCTCCCAATCCGTTGATTTAGATCTTGGAACATTGGTTGTCGCTGCTCTATAACCGGAATAAAATTGCCTAACCTTCCACACACACTACGCTAGTATCGCCATTTTACTCTCTTGCATTGTCATTCTTCACGTCAGTGGGACCAGAATAAACCAACAAATGAAATTCGCAAAAGCTTAGTGACTAACACTATGCCTTGCCCTGGATAAACATGAACTACCTATCTTGCAAAGGTTACTTAAGTAGAGAGTTGATTAAATTTATCCTGAAAAAGGTCAACATTTTGTTTGCCACCCAGGCGTCTTTAAGTTGAAAGTCATATTCTGCAGTCTGGCCTTACATTGATCATGCATGCAACTCTGATAGTTGCAACAAAAAGAACAAACAATAATGGTTTTATGACATATATTTCAAACTTCGTAAGTATTTTAAAATCGAAGCTTCTGGAAAAACCATTTGTTCTTGCCGGTCTTGTATCTGAAAGATATACATGATAATTCAATATATTATCACCAAACACGTATGGAACAATTAAATATATATACAAGTTTAATCACAATTAAATAGGATATAAGCACAATATATAGCCTAACTCCATCTCCATCCATTTGGGGATGAACATCAAAAACATAGCAGAAAGGATAGCTTATGTCTGGGACATCCAGGTATCGCAAAAATTTACAAAGGTTTCGACTACGACTTGAATGTACTTTCATCAGGCATAAAAAGAATTGATAATTTTCATTTTAATCGCTATGAAAGTTTAATTTTATCGAATGTTGACCTTGAATGAACTCAGCAAGGTGAGGTAAAAATCATTATACTAAATAAATGTTGGGAATATAATTTGATTATTGCCATAAACTACTATATGGCTCACAAATCTAGAATAAGTAGCGCAAGTACAAAAAAAAATTTATTGAAAATTTGCTTTAAAATTTATTATTGCGGACTCAATTTAATGCCTAATGATATATGTAAAGTATAAATTATCCGAAATAATATTTACAAATGAAGATTCAAGTTTTAAAAAAAATAAGTACTGTTGTATGCTTCAAAAAAAGTTAAATTCGGATTCAAAATTTAGTTTTATACTACATGTACATAGTATTGAAAATGTTTTAAAATACTCTTTAAAACGAACAGATCATTCATTTTTTATGAGCCATATTCAAACCAAAAAAATGGAGTACTGAAGGCTGTATATACTGCTTCTTCAGAAGCCACATTCTCTGAATTGTGAGAGAGCCGCAGGCATTTATCTTCCAACATTTGCTCGAGATCTATATTTCGTCTAGATTACAACCATGGTAAAGAAGCCTGCTTCACATAAATACGAAGTCGCAAAGGGGGTGAGAGATGGCGCAACGATTTTTAACCAAGAAATCATTATCTTTATTCAAAGAAATCCAAAGCCTACTTGCGAATCGTCTTTTTAGAACTTTTTGTACAGTATATTTTTTTGTTCAAATCAAAAAATATTCAATCGCAAAACAGGTACAATTCCGCAAAACAGAGAAGAGTTTTGAGACGCCCTAACAAAATTGAAACGACGCCCACTTTGAGAACAACGGTATAAGAGCATTTGCATTAAAAATGTTAGATAAAAAATAATCAAATAATTCTGTTGGGATCCTTAAAAAAGCAGGCCACCAGACCTATATCTAGAAAAATGTGAAAAAGAGAAAAAACAAACAAACTAACCTCTCTTCTAATTTTGATTTAACTTCTCGCCTCGCTTTTCGTCGACCAGCAGGATCTCTGATTGCCTCTTTATTAACAACTTGTTTGTCAATGGGAACGTCAACGGAATATCTATGGTAGACATAGAAAATATTTGATATAGTAGTGTTTACTACACCATGGAAATTGGTTGAACACCTATGAGTCCAGGTTGGGAATGGGGATATTTAACCCACCCAGGGCTGAATTCCACCCGAGAGAGAAATTTTGCCGTTTCAGGGTAGAATTTTGCTTTGTATAAGAGTAATATTACAAATATTTTTTATTATAACTATAACACATATTCATGAACACACAATCAACTACTTAAACTCTACAAAACGGAGGTGTGACTTGTGCACATAACACTGACATTGAATAAAAAAAAATAGTTTACATGCATAGTGAGGGAAGAATAAATAATTCTCAATGGGGCAAAGAAGGAATTGAACAAAAAAAATTGGGAACCACTGCATTAACCAGTTGATAGTTCCAGATGCATGGACGTGCCACTGCCAAACCATTGATCCATCAATATAGTTACTAAATTTGAACATACACATATCATGCTCAAATACCGGTACCGGTAGTTTTATGTTTTCTATTTTGAGACACCTGGAGCTACGTTTGCTGCAAATAAGACTCGGGATAAACAGACATTAGAATGTAGAACACTCGTTTTAGGATTATTTCCATCTCTATTCTGCCAAACTTAGAAAATCATGAACAAAACTTCATAATAAAATTTTACTGCTATGAAATTACAAATATCATTTCGAGACAGGGGGAGTAATTACAGTAAATATTTATTTATGATATGTACAAGAATGGTGTGCAGATTTTTAGAATAATTCAACGCGCCTAGTATAGTATCTTCAAAATGTCCATATTATTATTATTAAATGGCCACCTATAGTATCTATTTAAATTAAACGATCTTTTTCAATGTAAAAAAGATTACTAACATTCTATGATATGGTATAATTCTGTTATTTTTCCAACACTAATTTTTCACTATTTGTACAATAATTCTAGTATAATCTGATTTGAGTTTAGTAAGATAAACTGAGAAAGTGGAACAGTAACTCGACCAAACACATCACAATGTAACCCAGTGCTTATTATACTATTTGTTGACATGAAATCACTGCATGCCATTTGGTTATATCCTTGGGTAATAAAATAACACAAAAATTACTTTTTGAAATATTCGAGTCGCTTGATAAACAGAAGCAGAGAAAACAAATAGTGTTGAAATAATATTATAGTGCAGTCAATAAGAATGTTGATACTTATCATTGCAATAAAAAACGTTTATACATTGATGAATTTGTACGAATTCTTATGAAAGCAAGACCACACCATACCTTGTTGGCATCAAGTGATTGTAATTGATGACTTTCACAAAGCTCTTCACTTTAGATCGCTTTTTTACTTTTTTCTTTGACATAGGTTTTGTTACTTTGCGAGGGTATCTGTCGATTCCAGCTACGAGAGCATGTCCATATGTACGGTCACTTGTGCCATCGTCTTGATTCTAAACATGAGAACATTATTTAAAGCAGGAAAACACATTAAACATATACTAATCCAAACCAAGTGATGATATCTTAATTCTTTAATTGTCCTTCCTGTCACAGTAGAAATGACGTTCCTTTACATTTGGGGTCTTGTGTAGTTTCGTACCTCAAGAACTTCCAGTGGGTGTAGCATAGCGATTTTTGCACATGTCAATCCTAATCCCCACCTGACTACACCACCCAACAATGACATCATAGATCTTGTCAAAGTATACCTACGATCGCCCGAAATGGCATCAACGCCAACGATTTCGAAATTGCTGTGACGAGAGAAACTGCTTGCTCGATTTTGGGTGATCGTCTGCCCGTCTTGGCTGACAGTTTGAAGGGTCTTATTACGTCACTGTGATGAAATTTTTGGATTGCGTAGTCAGGTGAGGGTTGTGATTGACATATGCTGACATGCAAAAATTGTTATGCTACGACCAATCAGAAGTACTGGAGGTACGAAACTACACTAGATCCTACATTTGCACACTAGCATCTTACAAACCCTTTTTCACTGTCCATTCATACCATAGACTAGTGCAATATAGTATTAGGTTTATTCTTATTATGGTTGAAACACCCAATGACAATGTACAGATGTAGCGTTTTCCCTGCTTGAACCGGTCTTTAGATGGGCATTCCAAACAGCCTGAAACATAATACTACTGGAATCTGGTATAGTATCACAAGTACTTCCGAATACTATTCTACTAACGAATTTTGCGTAAGTCATTTCTAATCCCTATCTGACTCCATCATCCAAAAATTACATCACTACAACGTACGGACGTAACAATCATGTCATAGAACTTGACTAAGTTTATCTACAATCGCCCGAAATGGCATCTGCGCCTTACTAACACCAGCGATCTCCCTCATATCCGGATCGCTACGACAAGAAATATAGCTTGCTCGTAATCGTCTGCGCGCTTTTGATGAACATCAATATACTTTAGGAGGGCCTTATTACGCCACTACAATGATTTTTGGTGACGCAGTCAGGTTGGGGTTACAGGGTTAGAAATGACAAATGCAAAAATTGCTAAGCCAGGCCAACTAGAAGTACTTTAGCTACGAAACTATATGGTACCAGACCAGACCATTGGTGCAAATTAGTTCTATGACTCACAAAGTTGTATGCAGAAACTTGAATAATACAATTATAAGTTGGGTTATAAGTAAATTATATAGTTATAAGTAAATACCTTTACAATGATGGCTTTTCTGCCAGCGTACCTCCCTTGAAGGACAATCACCACCTTGTTGGGTTTCATAAACTTCCCCATCCTTGACGACTGTTAAAAATACAATATTTTTAAAACATCAACATGCTGGCTTTTTAGTCATATTTCTAGGAATATTCTTTCAAAAGCAGTGGATATTGTACCGATAAAGCATAATTCTAGATCCAATCCATATTCTGAACCAACATAATTGATTGAAGCAATGGCCAGTTGGCCGATTTAATCGGGTAAAAAAACTTGGATAATTAACGCATACAAACCTACAGACGGGACCGTGAAAAGGCAGGCAAATCGTCCTGTTCAGGTTTTGTTGACATACGGCGCCATCCAGTGAATGGATAAGTTACCTTTTCCAAGCGCAAGGTGAAGCAGATGTTTATGAATATAAATTTGCCATATGGTCAAATGTTTTTTTCTGACCATCAACCAGTTCATCTGGCAATAATTGGACACATTAGTGGACATAACGATCGTTTTAATATTATGTTTTCTGGCGCGGCGGTGTGGCTCAACGGGCTAAGCGTTAGGAATACGCTCGCCACCGCACCTCTAATTACTCTGCGTGGGTTCGCAGGTTCGAATCCCACGCAGGGATGGTTATGTGCGAGAGGATTGCTGGACTCCTTGCCGTCGTTGGGTGGTTCACGTAACCGCTGGTCGGTTACGGCTTCCTCCACCACCAAGTCCATGCTTCCGAAAAAACAAACAATATAACTAATCCCATACCCGACTTGGAATGGTAACCGGACGAGAGGCCGTGGTTCGCCATATGGATAAGCCGTCTTATCGGCTTTCCTCTCCCCCGGGATAAATATGTAAATCCTATCCTATCCTAAAAGTAATGGATCCATATTCCAGACGACTAAATCATATGGCGAACCACGGCCTCTCGTCCGGTTACCAGTCCAGGTCGGGTATGGGATTAGTTAGCCAGTTGTTTGTTTTCGGAAGCATGAACTTGATGGTGGAGGAAGCCATAACCGACCAGCATTACGTGAACCACCCTACGGCGGCGAGGAGTCCAGCAATCCTCTCGCACATTATCATCCCCGCATGGGATTCGAACCTGCGATCCCACGAAGGGTAATCAGAGATGCGGTGACGAGCGTATTCCCAACGCTTAGCACGATGCGCCAAACTTTTTGTGAATCCTATGAGATTTGCTATTTTCATCAAAAATTTCGCTATTTATTAATTATTTTATTTATTATTCACGACTTTTGCTAGTATCCTGTTTGATTTTTTTCTCACTATGATTTAATGTTTAGACTCACTCCCCCAGGGTGACGCTGCTCGATAACCTCTACTGGTTTATCGAGCCTCCCTACACACTGAAAGTATTGTTGGACACGTTAGTGGACATAACGATCGTTTTGGTATTTTTGTTGTTCTTGTTCTTATTTGTCTTCTTCTTGGTATCGTTATGAAAATATCGCTTTTCTCGTTGATTACTGGACCAATTGCTTTGAAATTTCCAGTGAGTAAAGATTATATTTTTCCCCAGAAGGCTATTACTTTTATTTATTCTTAAATTTTATATGAATCCTATGAGATATGATATTTCATACAAAATTTCGCGGTATTTATTTTTACTCACGGGAACACTGTTTTACACTTATTTCAAGCGATTTCGCGATCGCTTGTCTTGCTCAGTACTACAGCTACTGTAGGTCGGTACTGGTAAGTTGCCATACCGGTACCGTAACGCAGTGAAATTGACTTATTCCTTCCGCGGTATTACTAATGCTGCAATGCAAGTTTTATAGCTTATCGTATGCGGAACGGAATATCAGACCTACAGGTTCGGTACCGGCACTGGTAGCTCAGTACGTAAGTACGATACTGGTACTGGTGCCGGTACCGGTGTCTTACCACAATGAAATTACCGTAACTTATTCTTTCACGGTCCTACCAGTGCTGTAATGCAAGCGTTGTAGCACTTGTAGCCTACTATATTTGTTTATTTTGATGAGAGTCTACTGGAAACAACATAAAATTTGAAAGGGAAGAATTGTTCTGTGATCAATTATCTGTCCTAAAGTGTAAACAACATAAAATTTGCAAGGGAACAACTGTTCTGTGATCAATTACCGTATATGGCCTACAGTGTACAGGTAAGATGCTGGCTGACTGCTAACTCAGTACCGCACCTACGTTAGGTACCGGTGCCGCCGTGAATTCAGCTCTCATCTCTTTGTTGGACACGTAGTGCATAACGATCGTTTCAATATTATGTTGTTGTTCTTGTTCTTTGACACGTTTTTAAAAAGTCGCTTTTCTCTTTGAATACTGGACCAATTGCTTTGAAATTTTCAGTGGTTAAAGATAAAAATTTTCTCCAGAAGGCTATTACTTTTTTTTTTCGCTATGACGTCATCAAAATTATGTGACTCTACGTGTCCATATATTTGAGCATAGCTCTCTTGTTTTATATGTGATTCGTAGTTATTTTTGTCTATTGTGTACTTTTGGTATGTGATAAAATAAACTACTGACTGACTGACTGACTATTACCTTTTAATCATGGGAACACGATTTTTAATCCGCCAAGTGTGACGGCCAATTCTGGAAATTCTTGCTCAAAAACTCAAAGATTTTCAAGGTTACCAGTACGCGTAATGTTGGGAACTACTGCTTCGCTTGCTGTCCAAATAATCGTAGACTGCGGTATTTACTGTTATGATACCGTAGTAACTCGAATTAGTTGGTATTTCAATTCACGTTGAAACGGAATCGTCACAGAATCTGGAAAATCCGTGTACCTGTAACAGTGCCGATATGGAAGCCCAAACATCTCTTGAAAGCGGGTCTTACAGTCACAGTTATAATCAATGTCTTTCAACATGGGGCACAATCTCTCGAAAGCGGGGCCTACAGTCACAGTTAATATCTTTTAATAGGGGGGCTTTTTTGGAAATTGGGTGAGTAAACTGTGCCGTACTGGGCACGGGTACTATTAGGTCACGTTATCATAGCCATGTAGCTGTTTCACTGTTCACCTTCGTGTAGGATACTCTATGGTTTTCGGTGAAGGGATGATGAATCATCTTACGTGCCCATATATTTGAGCATAGCTTTCTTGTTTTAATCAATTGATTTAATTTGGAATTCTAGAAACCATATTTAAGCCTAAATTATAATTATACAAAACGAACATATTCTATTCAATTTGTGCTGGTAGACTAAGCTTATTCAGATTCAGATATATTTATTTTTGTTGTGCAAAACCAATATACGATATGGAATAAATGAGAGAGAGAGAGAGATTTTATTTCACAAAAAATGTCAAAACTATGAAACATTTGTAGCAACAGAAACAAAAAAATGATCCAATAATAATTAGTTATCATTAATTGTGAGGGTCAGTAGCATATATAAAACCGGTTAGGTCACCGAGGATCCTAATCCGTGATGTATATAAGCGTAGTAGTATATATTTACGATATAAGAAATCAGTCAGATCAATGACACTAAACAACATGATAGGCAACTCTGACGTCACTCCATAAGACCAATGACATTAAACAACATGATAGGCAACTCTGACCTCACTCCATAAGACTACAGGCGAAAGATTGTATTTCATGATACGCTCCAATGCACATATTACTCGTCGCCTTTCGCGTCCGTTTTCCGCTCGCTTTTGCTACTTTTTTTCTTTTTAACGTGTAGTACCTGTCTTTTTGCGCCTGTAACGAAACAAAATAATCTCTATATCTAAGAAGTTTTGCTCACTTGGAAAGCTGGAATGGCAGGCAAGCTGTAAAGAGCAATTTTGGACATCATAGACGTTTTTTTTATCAGAGAAGATTACAAACGCGATAGCAGAAAGTTTGTGTGGAACATTTTGCAGATAATGACAAAGTTCAAAGTTAGTAATTTTAATGTTTGCGCTTAATCATTGAAATTTCATTTAAAGAGGGTGTTATACAAAACTGTGCTGTGATACAATTCCATAACACAAAGTTGGAACCTATCGAACTTGCTTTTGTAGGTGAATTTATTAGACATATTACATATTCAGTTAATCGTAGGTAACATTGCTGGTACATAATGCATCGTAGATAATGTGGTTTAAATTTAGGAATTCAGCTCATAGCCCACTAATTAATATTACCTTCTATGCGGGAGGTTGCAGGGCTGAATTCAACTTGCAGCCTTACCGACCACCTGACGATGCTCATTTAGTTTGCTCGAGCAAGTCTTCTTGAAATGCTTGTGTGGATGGAAACTACCTATATTTTTTGCCTTCCTCCGATTTTAGACAAATTTATTATGAGGGATTTCGCATATAATTCTCATTGATTGTTGGCTGTTTATAATTTCTATTGATTGTGAATTCTGATTATAACAAAGAGTTAAAATTTTTTTTATCTAATTTACTGGCACCTTTTTCTTGTCAATACTCCAAGCTGAGGTAATAAACAAGACAATACATTTATGTCATCTGGAAGCAAAATATGCACACTAATTAATAGTTTGGCACATTGAGATAATACATCATGACAGAAAATACAAGTTAAACATATGTATGACCATCACATTGTAATTAAAATAAAAAAAAAATAATAGGGGCTGTGGAGTATGAAAAGTTCAAGACAAAGAAAAGAACAAATGTTCATAGCTCATGAACTCTCAATTTTGCCTCCATTGCTTTGTGAAGGCCAATATATTTCGAGTGGCTGAAATGGTTTACCTTTATGATAGCAACGATTTTGTATTTAATATAGCGAGATTATTTCAATTTAAATGAAGTGATATTATTTCCCAAAGCAATGCTTGAATCGTCTAGAATAGATCAGTGGGGTCAAACTTATGGGTTTTCGAGAGCCGCATTGCATATTGGAAATTGTAAAAAGAGCCGCAAACAGTTTTTGATAATGTATACTTAAAAGATATTTTTAAGATAGTTTTAGTTTGTGACATATATTGTGATGCAACAAAACAGTTGGATTAAGTTTTATTATTTTCTTCAATTTCAAATGCAATTAGATATTAATATTTGCATTCCACTATTATTGCAACATTTGCAAGTTACTGTATTTATTATAAAAAATCATAAAATTCTATGTACAACCATCAAAATCATTTTTGAACAAGCTTTGAATAAGGAAAGAATCATACATACACTAAAAATAACTTAATCTAAATATATGAACCTAAAATTAACAAAAATACTACAGTATAAACTCAATGTTTTAATAATTACATTTGTCCTGACGTTTGGCATCTTTTTTGTGTCACCGGCATACTAAGGCAAGGCTGAAATGATTTTATAGTACCAATTCTAACTAACGAGGCCACATGATCATGGGTTAATCTGG